AAGTCCTGTAAAAAATTAATTTTAATATTATTAGTTTTCCTTATGAAATCTGAAAAATAACATGATTAGAATAAATGCAGCTACGCTGGAAAATAGAACATTTTCAATTTAAGTTTTATAAATCATTACAATAGTAAGTTAACCTGTAATGTTTGAGGCACCTGTTGCTAATTGATGCTGAAAATTAGTCTGCGGAGTACGTCTCCCTGAATTTGAAGTAGCTACCATACCATTAATTGTCAGTTGGCGTATTTGGTTGTCATCATTACCATCATTACTGTTGAATAAATTTATATAAATTGCAATAAAAATTAGTTTAATAAAAAATGTTATGTTAAAATAAATCTCCTCTTCTTCTGAAAAATAACATGATTAAAGAAACTCCTAAAATAAAAACTATTAGTGGGTTATTCGCTCCTAAAAAAACAATTAGTTAAATGTATTGCACATGTATTTGTACTTGCCCAGTAACTGGTGATGGTCCAGTTCGTATTATTTTGGCTCCAGTGATTCCTCCACCTTCTGATACAACCTGAAAACACTGTGTATAGATTATTGACCTTTTTTTTGTTACTACTTGAGTTTAAATATCTAACCATTTCATACGATCGTTTTAAAGGTTGGTATTGAAATTGGTTGCTTTGTTGAAAATACTGAATGGACTGCTGCTGTCCTTGCTGAATCATGATGGGTTGATGGCTATCGTCTTGTTTGTAGATGACTTGTTGTTTATCTGACATTTGTGTCTGAATCAGCTGATGTTGTGGTTTGTGTGATTGTTGTTGCTGCTGTTGTTGTGGAAGTGTCATTGTAACAATACCGTTGCCTTGTGACTGAAGAATTTGATGAGATATTGGCAGTGACATTAACTGATTGCCACCAGGTGAAGCTGTTTGATGTGTAAATGTCTTGCCCTGCTGTTGGAGTAATAACTGTTGTGTAGATGCTTGACTAACTTGTGACTGTAAAAGGCCAGGCAAGTTCTGTATGATTTGTGGTTGAAGATTTTGGAACTGATTCAATTGAGGCATCATCATTTGTATTTGAGCAGGTTGCCCTGGTGTCTGTTGTACAATTAATTGGCCATTAGGAATGTTTGCTGGGATCAATTGACCAGACTGGGTTTGTTGTAAATGAATAGTCTGCATGGCAGGCTGTTGGATTTCAGCTGGTGGTGGTTGTTGGTACTGTACAATCATGACTTGGCCTGGTTGGCCAGATGGTTGCTGGTATTGTGCCATTTGGTTACCAAGTATGTAAGTAGTACCAATCAACCCAGAGTTGGACTGTTGGCTTAATTGAGTTACTTGTCCAACATTGGGAGATTGAGCCATTTGGAATGCATTAGATTGCACTTGTGGTTGGTATGCAATAATTTGGCCATTAGACGTTTGAATATACTAAAAAATTATATGGTTAGTTGATTTTGAATCTATTGGAAATAATTTAACTATTTACTTGAATAGGAAGTGCAGCTTGAGTCATAAATGCTTGAGTATGTGGAATAACACCATTAGCTAGGGTTGTAGGAGTAGTATGGGTAACAGACGGTGTATGTTGAACATTTTCTAAACTTTTCTAAAATATAAGAAAATAAACATAAGTACATTAATTAATAATAAACACTCAATGAATACACAACATACAGTTTGTATTGTTTGCTGCTGAATTAGCTGTTGTTGCTGTGATTGAATTGTCGAATAGCTAACCGGCGTAACAGACAATGGTAGTTGGTGCTGTTGTTGCTGGTTGACTACTTGTGTTTGTATTTGAGGCATAATCGATGCTTGATGTTGGCCCAAAGAAGCTATGTGGGTTGGCCCCTGTGCGTTTTGTGCTGACTGGTGTTGTTGTTGGTGACCTCCCATTACTGGTGGGGGAACCGCCATTAATTGAGGTACTGAATTATACAGTAACAACCATTTAAAAATACAATTTTTATTTTTAAACATCATAAGATTATTGATAGTAATAGATTTCAAAGTTTTACAGTTTGTAAAGTGAAAGGTTTTACTTGTAATGGAGTCATAAGATACATAATAACTAATAAGTTTATCACTCAATATGGAATTTAATATATATATTTATTTAAATAAAATATTAAAAAATCATTTCTATAAATCTTACCGCCTTGTTGTGTGAATAATGGCATCTGAACATTAGCAACAGATGTCTGTACCACTTGTGATCCATCCTGTAATGTCATCATTCCAGTTTGTGCAGCAACTTGAACAGTCTGATATTGAGCTACAAATATATAATAGATTTTTAAACAGACCATTAAAATATAAGAGTAGATATTTACTTGGATTCATTTGTGGTATTTGACCATTATTGGTTTGAATAGTTTGTTGATGGATTACTTGTGGTTGTTGAATATGTACATTTGATGGCTGGTGTGCAACATTGGGTGGCGGTGCTACATGGTTAGAAGCGTATGTAGCACTATATTCATTTTGAATAGTTTCAATTAAATTGAAAGCTAATTGTCTACCATTTTGCAGTACTTCATTTTTTGCATGTCTACAATAGTAACAGGTATCATTGAGTATAACTGATTGCTATAAAAGTTAGTAAATGATTAATTAAAACTAAAATTTGAATTACTCGACACAAAGATGTAAAGGTTCAACTGATTCTTGTCCATTAGCTTCAATGAATCCAGAACCTCGTCCTCGCATGGTAACTACCGCCCCCGTTTCATTCATTATATAATGAAGATTAGCTCCATTTAAGCCTAATATCTTATTTCGTAGGTCAAAAGCTGGCGGCGCATGGTCTAAGCCAATTAAGACTTTTTCCTAATAATTAATATTATAGTGTCTCTTAATAGTTTTGATATTTAAATAATATAAAAATAAACTTAACGTTTTACTTACAATTCCTGCCCCATTAATCAAAGGGCCAGACGTCAAATTTGGATGCTTAGACATATCTTTGTCTCGTTGAATAAGTGATTGAATTTTTTGAATAGCAACTAAAGTTAAAATAAAGAAAACAGAATAAAATCTAAGTCTATAGAAGTTAATGACTCAATATGCTCACGATCTAAATTTTGTTTTTTCGGTCCTTTAATGAGTAAATGTAATGATCGCTCTGATGAAGCTTGATTTTTTTCTTTAGGAGTCAAATACCGTCCTCTAGTAACAATAACCGTACCTACACAATAGCAATTGATCAAATTAAGACATAATATTTAAATATAGTTTTACAATATATAATGCTTAGTCAAATAATAAATATCAAACAGCCGCAAACAGGCTTGCGGTATAGAGGTGAGATTTCGGTAAACCAATAATTCTAAAAACAAATCACCCGAAAACTCTTCGATGTCATTTTGTATGGACTTGCTGGTGAGTAGTATACGGTCGGTGTCTGCCAAGTCATTGATTTCGAACTGTGTTTTGAGCTGCGGCGTTGCTTGTTGAGGGGGCGCACATTGGGCCTGTGCAAGACGAGAGGACATATTTTGTAAAAAGAATTTCTTGGTATTTTGACTATTGGACTAAGCCGGCACGAAAACTACAACTCATACCTCCGGCTGGTCGCCGACCCGTTTTGCTAGGGCTGATTCTACTCGGGTGGCCATCTCCACCGCCAGTTTGAGATTGTTGGTCGGGATCGACATCATATCGCGGCAGATTAACAATATTTAGTCGGAATACAGTTGAACGATGGGACAGATGGTGTTCAGAGTGACTACGATCATTTCCGTAGTTTGTAAAACCGTTACGAGCAGGAGAAATATCGCGAGGAACCTAAAGAAAATGTATTAAACTATAATATTACCTACTTAAAATATTTTCAACATATTATTTTATATTTTTATATGTCGTTTTCAAATGCGATAACAAGACACTGCAACAAGCCGAAAAGAAAAACATAAAAGATAGAATACCGATTTCCATACGTTCCGTGGTACATACAATAATATTGAAACAAACACGTCTGCCAGTGTTACCATTCCCGGGGTATTTAAATTTTAAACTAATATTGTCCAGTGAAAAACGGTTTTTCGCCTTCTCGTGGCTGTTGGGTGTAGTTACTGGTGTTGGGACTATATTATTATATTGACTTTTAATTTGTTTTCAAGTTATTATTATTTGTACACAGTCACCGAAGTGTACAAAATCATTAAATGTACTGTACAGTTTGTCCAAAAAGACCCATAAATTATAAATATTAACTCAAAGGCTAATCAATAGATATAAATGTAGAGTAATATGTTAATACGGTTTTTACGTTTTCTCAACGATCAACAATCAACGAAGGTAATCTAAAAGGTATTTAACATTTATGATATCAATTTCAAAGTTTAAAAGTCAAGACGAATGTCTAAAAACTGATGTAGGTGGTTTCCCCGATACTTAGTGTGATACCGGACTTGTGGAACATACTATTATTGACTATTGTACAATAATTAGGTACGTACTTTTTGGCCGCTCAATTTCACACACGCAACAGTGATATTAAAAATGGTTGGTCGGTACGTTGCATCAGGATGAGACTAGATTAGAGAATAATTTTTTTATCGTGTTACTCATCGATCGTAAGACCCAGAATGGACTTACTACAGAGGTACATAGGTACCGAAATACCTAGTGCCGTCCTGGTTTTTGAGTTCTTTGGTGCTCCTACCCAGTGGCGCGGAGAACTTGAAATTGACTCATACACCGCCAACGGCCCAATAAAATACCAAATGGCCGACTTAATAAAATATACCTTTTTTAAACGGGAAACAATTCGGCATGTGTGGTTGGGGCTCGGGAACCAATTCAGATTTCAGTATATACCAGCCATAATTTTACCCATTGAGGCCACCCGGGTATCCCCCCTATAGAAAACTTGGAGACGAGACGGTCGGCTCACAATTACCCCCTTCTTCCCGCAACTGCCCATACCCACTACACATCACGGCCCCACACCATAACTCTGTGACAATTTCAGTTGCAGCTGCTGTTGTCGTCGGATTTCGTGGGGTGGTTTTTTTTTTTTGCGACTTTGCGAGCAGTTATAATTCCACATAATACGACCTAATACCTATTCTATAAATGCTATTGGTATTAAGTTGTTATTTAAGACTGGGTGTAGCTATACATAATTGCTTCAGACTTTTATACAAGTAAATGTGTCACAGTTACTATATGATCATGAGATAAAGTCAATATGATATTTATAATATACCTTAATGTACTTAGGTTATAGATACGTACTATATTAAATAGTTATAGCTTTAATATTGTTCACTTTTCAGTACAATTAATAAAACTATTAGGTAGGTAATTCTTATTACGGAAAATGTCTTACTATAGTAGTATGGTCGTAAAAAAATACCAACTTACATTTAAAAATAATTTTTAAAGCAAGTCATAATACGTGGCAGATGTTTGAGCCTCGAGGTATCATACAAGTTTTGATTTTTGAAACCATTAACTTAAGTTTCAATTGGAATTTCTAGTGAAAATTATCTATACGAATAAACGACGATAGGCACAGTAATTATAAATACACAATAGGTACAATTATTTTATTTGGAATTCAATAAATTAATAAATATAATAAATATAATGGTAAAATTAGGAACATCAAAAGTAAAATAACGATAAAATGACAATTAACTTTGAAAAAATCCATAAGGTTTAATTTTAAAATCCAGTTCTTGTAAAACCATTTGGTAACGATTTGTTATTAATTGCTTAAATGCTCCATGACACGATTTCGAACAAAAATATTGGACATTGAAGTGAGTGTGTGATCTGTAAAAAAAACTTGAGAAACACAACATTGTTAATTATATACATAGGTATGATTAGGTATATTTGCTCATTGCTGTGGCCATAACCATTACATTATATTATTATATTATAGTATTATACGATAGGTAGTAATATAGCCTGTAGCCTACAAGTAAGACCTACTTATATAAATACCTACTTAAAATACTTTATTAACATATTAAATATTCGTATTTTATTATTTATATCATATAATATTTAAAATGTCTTACTCATATTGTAATAAACACATATAGCTGAATGTGAACATCGGTCTCGAGCATTGCATACAGGAAGCAGCTGGACCGGACAACAGTTGTTCGCACAAATGTTTTGGGACACAATCTTTGGAAAATGGCGTCTTCCAAACGTAGAGTGCCCTGAGGGCAAATTCTTTCAAAGTGGGACAGTGTGCATTTCCTAGGACACTGAACACTTCTTTGATTTTAGGTGATATAATCAGATTGTGACCATCGCACGTTAGCGTTATATTTGGCAACATGTGAACTTCCAGAAATTGTTGTGTCCCGCAATATTCTGCTCTGATACAGTCGCGTCTCGAACTATTTTAACACAAGATGCAAAGATTTTAGTCTACCCACCCAATACTTTATGAAACATGTGAATAAAAGTAGGTAGGTACGTAAAGTTATATTATGTTTATTATTTACTATTTCTTAAAACGTTTGACATTATTAACGCATATTCATTGATAGCTTCTTCTAGATTATTTTCTTCTTTAAGTTTTTATTTTTATATTCTGTGTGGAGCGAAACAATGAAGGTATTAATTTTACAATAAGGTGTGTAGTTATTTTTTAAAATTATTATCAATAAAGAAATGTTTACGGATGTCAATAAACTTGAAAATGTAATACAAAGTTTCACATAAGTAGTTAATAGTGAGTGAAATAAAAAAAAAAAGTTGAGTGTAGATCCATAATAATTTTTTATGATTGTCAGAAGGTAAACAAAATTCATCAAAATCACAAAAATGTGCAAATTACATTTCAGGTAGAAATTAATAAAACATTTTATTAGTAACATTTGTAAGAAAATGTTTGCACCCCTTGAAATTCTATCGAAATTCACCTATAAATATTTTATAATACCATATATTCACATTAGTCCCTAATTCCTAATGTATATTATCATATTATGTATATTGCGAATACTAATTGTACTGTAGTCTGCCCTGTAGTAATGCCCTGATTATGTATTAATTTAAACAAATAAATAAATGCATATTTTTATTATATACTTAATATTGGCTGGCATGTAATTCAAAAAAGGATTATGGTCCATGTTGATATTGGCTTCCGGCCTGAAAGCTACCGCAGGCGCGTAAAGGAGCTTGTTGTGGGACAGCGATAGGTATTCGATGTTCTTCAGACGACTGAGATTGTCCGGCACAGAGATCAGCTTGTTTCCGTTCAATAAGATTTCACCGTAATACAATTTGTCTGGGTAGACTTCTGGCAGATTTTCGATTTCATTGTGAGACAAGTCCAATAGCCACAGGGAGGGCATGTTCAAAACATCTACATATATAGGTCATAGATAAGCGAGACATTCAAACGTTATGATACAAAAACAGTCAAGACTTTACATCTGTTGACTAAAAGTTGAAAAAAATTTGCTCTAATAGTTAGAAAAATATTCAATATTTAAAATGTTAAGCACAAGATCAATTTAATGTAAAAAAATTTTAATTACTACAAGTCTTTAAAATATGATCATCAAAATATATCTATCCGATATCCGTGCGATAATAATTCAATGAACTATAAATAAATAATATAATGTTTATTAATTGTCACGTTGTAGGAATACATATTAGGTAATTTCATATACTTGTATTAACTATTAAATACATATTTATTAGGTATCATTAGCCATTAGGTACTTCAACGTCACAACTCACAACGTGCAATTTTCAAGTGTACATACATATTATTATGTGTTTAATACTTCAATATGAAAAATGAATGGCAACGTAGATCCTTATGTATACAGGGTGTTTCTGAAGTGTGTGAGGTAATTAGTATAAGCATACTCACTGTGATGCCACAATGAAGATTTTTTTGGAATTTTTTTTCTAACTTCAAAATCTGGGTTTTTTAAATTTATTTTGAGAATATTATCTTGAATGTAAAAATAAACACTCTAGTCGTATTTTTTGCAAAATTCTCATACGAATCGAGATATCACATCATTTTTGCGCTTGTCGCGCGTTTTTCGCGCTCGAATCGCCAACTAAAAAAAAAGTCGTGCGACACATCGATTTGTATGAGAATACTGCAAGATAATCAGTGGTGATAATTATTTGTTGTCATTGATAATACACGATTAATTAACACATTGTTTTACATTGTCGACTAATAAAAAATATGAAATAATAACAAAATTAGGGTTAACAGAGTTTTAAACGATCAAATTTTACTAGCATACATTTGTGTCATACCTTTATTAAATAACTTTTAACTTTATAAAGTTATAATAGTTAGAGATAAAAAAACTACCTATTTGTGTGTTTATACTGAAATTCCAGTTTTTGGATATCATAGTACCTAACATAATTACTTTGACTCGATAAGATAAACATTTTATTTTATACTATTATTATTTATTAGTGAACCTAATATTATACTTTTATCGTTATTATTGAATTGACCGTACTCCTTACAGAGTACATGATGAACATTAGTTGGTCTGATTAGAGCTCAGTCCAATACTTGTCATTGAACGACATTTAAAATATTAATATTTATTTTTAAGATTTAAAGTTTTTAATTTAAATTTTGATTTTTGCGCAATGGCGTACACAAACATTGAATATGCAGACATGGTTTTTATGTTGGGTAAGTACTAGTTAATTTAATTAATTAGTTTAAGTATTTAACTAATATCACCCATTGGTGATTTATTTTATTAAAAACTCTAGGTATTTTACTTTATCACAAGACATACCCGTGTAACTATTTTAAGTTGTCGTAACCGACATGTTGTACGAAACAAACTATTTATTTGTTTATTAATTGTGACTAGGTTTAGCTGATGGAAATAGAAATCTTGCAGCTAGGTTCTAGGCAGAACGTAAGTAATGATAATAGTATAAAATAAAATGTTTATCTTATCGAGTCAAAGTAATTATGTTAGATACTATGATATCCAAAAACTGGAATTTCAGTATAAACACACAAATAGGTAGTTTTTTTATCTCTAACTATTATAACTTTATAAAGTTAAAAGTTATTTAATAAGGGTATGACACAAATGTATGCTAGTAAAATTTGATCGTTTAAAACTCTGTTAACCCTAATTTTGTTATTATTTCATATTTTTTATTAGTCGACAATGTAAAACAATGTGTTAATTAATCGTGTATTATCAATGACAACAAATAATTATCACCACTGATTATCTTGCAGTATTCTCATACAAATCGATGTGTCGCACGACTTTTTTTTTAGTTGGCGATTCGAGCGCGAAAAACGCGCGACAAGCGCAAAAATGATGTGATATCTCGATTCGTATGAGAATTTTGCAAAAAATACGACTAGAGTGTTTATTTTTACATTCAAGATAATATTTTCAAAATAAATTTAAAAAACCCAGATTTTGAAGTTAGAAAAAAATTCCAAAAAAATCTTCATTGTGACATCACAGTGAGTATGCGTATACTAATTACCTCACACACTTCAGAAACACCCTGTATATGTTTAAAAATTATAATAAGCATATATTATTATGGTACTCATAGTTCTCACAAGAGAGGGGGACTAGGTTTGGCTAATAAGTAATAAGGGTATATTATGTTCTGTTTGAATAATTTAATTATAGGTACATAGAATATAAAGCAAACTTAATATTAAAATTATTTTTTTTCATATAAACTAAATCGTGCACGTACCTATAATAAATAATGATTAGTACTGGGAATTGGAATAGGCGAATTTATTGCATATTTTGTTCGATTATTATTTCGTACATATGGACACATAGCATTCGTTAGCACAAGATAGATAGTCTTCTAGGATAAAAGATTCTCTATTTAAGAGGATCTCAGTTAAATATTTGTTTTCTCTCAGACCCTCGAGTAACATATATAAAATGGTTTTACCAAAAATCGTTTTATTATGATTTTTAAGCAACCTCACAAGTAAAATCACTAATTTCAAAAATTGTAGAGGATAATATTTTTGAGGGTATGCATATCGGTTTTATATTTTATAATTATTTGCCTTTGTGTTTGACTTTCAAAATAAAAAAAATTATTAATTTAATGTTGTTCAAATAGTTTTGAGAAAATATTTAGATAAATCAATATATTGTCATACCCTCAAAAATAATATTTTCTATCGTTTCTATATTTCTATAATGGATGATTTAACTCTATAAGATTACTCAAAACATAAAAAAATGATTCTGCGTAAATGCATTTTGTTTATGTTGCACTGGGGCGCAGAAAGAATACAAACTGTGAGCTGACATTCTTAAGAATCCACTTAAGAGTCCTTCAATCTCTTATTTTTAGTATAAAGCTGGTTTGAGTTAATCGGTAAAGTCCAAAATACCTTTTTAGCCAACAAGACTGAGCATAGAATATATCTTGTGACGTTGCAGAATTCCTACTGCCGAAATGTCGTATTTTTTATTTTCAAGTATATATTATTACACCAATATTATTATGAATTATGATGTCAAACTTTAAATGAGCCGAAAGCAGTGAGCTAAGCCAGCATTTATCGAAAATGTTATCGGTCAATAATTATAGTTCCAGAACAATAATTATTAGTTTTATCCGTAATACACTGATAGTTATAGATGCAAAGTTTTAAACATTTTGGGGGGAAATACAAGATAATGAAGATACGTTACAATTCCAAAATTATTATAGAAATAATTCAGTTCATGTAGTTTCTGTTCACTTATATATAGTCGTGTCACAGTCATGGGCAGATCGGGATCCATTTGGCCCACTATTATGAAAAAATTCGGCACTATTCTATTACAACCTTAATTTTTGACTTTTGGTTACTCACAACAGACACAACTCATCATATAATCAGTAGGTAGGCCATAAATGTTTTTAAAATTTGAATTTATTTGAGGTAGGTAATATTAATTATTGGTTATTTACACATAGTACTTTAAATCATAAATCATAAGTAAAATCTATAATATAATGGAATGTGATCGATAGACGCACTATTTCACTTAGGTACCTACATTCTACATAATAATTTAACACTTTAACAGCAAACTAGCAGAACCATGCGCTGTTTAGTTGGGTTTAGTGAGGTTTAATTTAACCAATGTTATTATTATTGTTATTTTAATTAATTCGACAACAGCAGTGCTATTAAAATCATTTTGAACTTATACTCGTACGTGAAGAACTGGCCATTATAATAGCTACTCAATTTACTACTTTCCTAGTTAGATAGAGCTGCCATATAGATTTACAATGATGTGGAGGTGGGTAAAGTTTCATCGGGTTACATTTTAGGTAAACTTATTGATGAGCAAATCTACAATAATCTAACAATAATTTTATCAGTAACTTTTAACTAGTACCATATTTTGAATTATTATATTTATTTGAATAAATATTTTTTGTGTAAAATAGTTCAAAATTGAAAACCGTAGTTTTTTATGCTCAGTTGTGTAAGTTTTCTTTTGTATTTCTATATCCCTTGATACGCTGACAAATTTGCTCAATCGTGTCGTAAAAAAGGTATCTTATGCTCAATCGCACTGTAGCTGAGTGAATTGATCTATGTTATAAAATTTAAAGGTACAAATATTATCCAGGTCCCTCTCGTAGAATTGTTGATATTTTAGTTTTGAAGTTTCTCAGCATTTAAAAATTCGAGTACGACGTCCTCAATCATATTTAAGTATCTCGGCAGGCGGTAAATCATTTTATAATATTGTTTTGCATATACAGGATACTAAAATATTTAAAATTGTTTTATCAATTATTTTTATGTTAAAAATGTATAAATAAGGGCTCCACCTTTATTACAGTACTGATGTCCCAAGTTGAAAGTAGATTGTGAGGGGCCTGATAGACGATAGTACTCTAAACTCTATAATCTATATTATAATATACCTGATACATTATTAGATTATAACTTATGAGTTATGACACTTACGTAAGCCCGAATTAATGGAGGGAGGGGACAGGGCAACATGGACTAGGGCCCGCACAATGGATATTGAAAAATGGTAGACGTGGACGGTGGACCCCTGAGCCCCCTGACGGTAGTGCGTTACCTATAATATATGGATAATGGATATATTATTATTATTTGACCTCATGCCCAAAATAATCTTAATCCGGGATTGCACACATGGATACGATTAAACGACTACGCGAAGTTAACGCGGTTAGGCACGATAAACGATAGTACAATAATATTAGATAACAATATACGATTGAGGATCGCAGTTTTAACTCACCTACTGTCTACTATAGAAGTATTGACTAAACAGTTTAAATTATTAAGCTTTGAATAAAAAAATTAATGAAGTTTTGATATTTAACGCTCTACATAAGTCATACAAAGACGAAAATATACCTATTATTGTTATATCGTTCTTATAACATACCTATAGATGATTGCTAATCAATATTATTACTATAGGTATACACATTACACTGCTGTAATAGTACGAGTATTATAATATACCAGCCACATAAAATATGAAACAACATTATCATTTATTATCTAAAGTAGGAACAGGGCTTTTTATAGCGCGCATATAGATATTATTACCGAGGAATTATCGTCCATCGGCAATACCTGATATAGTGATATCATTCATAAGTGCAACTATTTACAATTAGTCCATACCAATAGGTCATATAGATACAAACATAATGTATGAGTGTTATATCTTATATTTATATATACAATGTACAAAGTACATATATAATATATATGATAGGTGGTGACTATAAATATATAGGTATACCACTACGCAGTGGCGTATTTTAAACTTTTTTTCTGGGGGGGAGGAGTTTTTAATAATTTATTTTAATCCTAACATTTTATAGGTATTGATATTAGAAAATTGTTATTTATTTATTGTTATGCCTACTTAACGTTTTTGTATAAACATCATATACATTGTATTATAATATAAAATCAAATTTAAATTTAAATATCTTAATAGTTATCATTTATTTGGGGTTCTGGGAGTCCGGTACCCCTAGATCCCCCCCCCTAAATACGCTACAGCCACAACGGAACTATATGTGTGTCCCGTGTAGACCAAATTAAATTATATTGATTATAATTTATAGGTAAAATGTAAAGCTATTGATTTTATAATATTCGTCATTTATATTTTACATAAGTATAGTAAAATCATGGTAGGACGATTTCCCTAGTAATTATATAAATATCATTTAAATCAGTACATTTAATAACCAGTAACCACTAAAAGCTAGGTTTCCGCTTTATTGAACACTTCGTGCTCAGTTTATTTAGTAACATCATAATATAGCCATGTATATACCTTAATATAATATACAAACTAGTTAAAGGACTATCGACTATGTTTAATAAGTGGTAACAAAATATTGGTAATACGTTACGGTAACCTATTAGGGTACTGTGCCTAGGACTTGTGATTTTTTAAATATTTTGTGTTGTTTTTGTATCATTATAATTTGTGATATTAGGTTAGTATACAATCTGCAAATACATGTTGTATTATTATGATGTCTTTGAGTAAACAAAGCGTTACAAACACTTTAAAAAGAAATGAAGAAGAATTTGATTTATTTGAAGACAAAGCAAAATAAATAGTTTCCAATATATCTGATTATTCTAAAATTGAATTCGTAGGTATAGGTATAGATATAAAGTTTCGGTAACTTATGACAATGCAATTGATGCAGTAGATCAAATGAATGCAAGAGAAAAATTAATTTCACTGACTAGAGTTTAAAAGATGACGAAATAAAATTAAATGCAAACAATTTATTTGAAGCCTAGAGATAAAATTGATTTGACATCTTAAGTCATTGTTAATAGAAACTGAAATGTCTGGAATGTAAAATAGTTAAATACCAAAATAGTAAATAGTTTTCTAAATTTAAACATCGCTTTGAGAATATATTTATTGATTTTTGGTACACCGTACGAAGGCGAAAGATAATTTTCAGTTTTGACGAGGGTATAAGAATATTGGCAGTGATCTATTATACCTACATATGCAGAAATTCATTGAAAATATTGGGGATAAGGTTACTGCAAAATTGTTAATTATATTTAGTTTTATATCTAAATATTAGGAATAAGCTGATTAGTATAATGTTATTAGCCTATATAAATATGACAAGAAGTTATGTACGATAATATAGTATACAAATATTATGATTAACTTCAACCCTACACGACACGATAAAGTGGGTATTCAACTTAAAGATGCGAAGCAGTGAAGTAGTTGAATACTTTAAACTGCCTACGAGTATGTTTGGTACAATGGTACCTATATTATGGTAACAGGTAACGTATAATTATGTTAAACACACGACGATTTATACGAAAGTTCGTGACAGGGTGGTGGCACGTAGTGGAATAGTACCTTATCTAAGAAGACACTAAGATGGGCGAGTAAGTTGTAAACACTTTTATATTGCCTGCGCGTTTAAAATTATCGAAATAAGATGTGCGCAGTGCGCACCTATGAACCTCATCAGAGTGATTTTTGACAATATTTAGAGACAAAAGTTTAAAATGCATAAATATAATTTTTTTCTCGTTTGAACATTTGAAACTATACAAATTGTGGATTCGTTTTAAGTTTTTCGTCGCAAGTTTAGTGACTTACCGCCAGGGACGTTTCTTATTCGGTTGCGTGACAAGTTCAGCTGCGTCAGTCGCTTGAGCGCCGTCAGTGCGGAAGGTATGTCCGTAATGGAGTTGCACGGCGCACACAGCACTTCCAGCCCCTTCAACTCGCAAAGTTCCAACGGAAATGTCGACAGTTTGTTGTTGTCCAAGTAGATGTGAGTCAATTTAGTCAAGCTGTTAATCCATCCAGGCTGCACATATTATATTACGTTAAAAAAACCGTATTTAGACCCAACAGCTCGTCGATTTCGACAGTTGAAGGGCGGCTATCTAAGTACCTAAAAGCTGATGCTTAAAGAGTGGTTTAGGTAATAAGGTCTACAACTGGATATTTTTAACGTTATTAAAACGTATGGTAACTTGATGGTAGTGCAAAATCAAAAAGTATATTATTGTAATTGTATTTTTTTGTTATTTTAATCGTTAACATCACTTAAGGAATATATTAAACAGTCTTGGATAAATAAAATGCATTGTTTATTCATTACGATTAATTTATTACCTACCGACTTGCGCGATTCGAATATGGTACTTATTTTAAATTTTAAATATGTAAGAGTATAGGTAGGTAAGTAATATGTATAAGGTTTATGAACGCGGGAAAAAAAAGGTATTATGTGTAAATAATTTGCTGACTTACTAGTATTTCGATAAAGTTGTTTTTAATGTAGAGCTGATACACCACGTCAGTGTTCCGTTTCAAGTCTTCAGGAAACTCTAGGAGATTTCTGTCGTTCCAGTGCAGGATATGACCGATGCCGAGCGTCATCGTCGTGATTTTGCGGAGCATGTCAAAAACAAATTTTTCGCAAGTATTTTTTGTTAAAGGGTTTAGAATAGAAACTATAAAGTAAAAATAATCATTGGCAGTAGCTCAAAAAACGCGTTTATAAGGTTAGTAGATCATATCATAATATTCGTTTGGTCGGATGGTTCTTTAACAACGGAGTAATAATAACTACCATAGAACACGATTTTCGTGTCGTTAGAAAATTACTACCCTAGATACAGGTTGCGCACAATTATAAATTAAAATGTACAGTAATATATTTGTAATATTAAGTACTCACGCGTTATTTAAATTGGTGTTGGACCAAATATTGATTTTGAAATCATGATTTTGTGTTTTCAGCGAGTATACATTCATGTTTAGGGGTGACGTTTGAATTTGGGCACAATAGAATACGTAGTTTAGTGAAATGATCTTCGGGCTTGGAACATTTACATTAATAGTATTATTTATTTTCTAACAAAGCCTACAGAAGACAATCTGCATGCATATTAACAAGAATTTTTGATAAGGCCTTGTGTCAACGAACAAAGTGTTCGGAAATACCATATTTGTGTTTTGATTTTTGAGTGGGAGATTTTAATGGTTGGATTTATGTAGTTTTATATAGAACATTAATTATGATAAAATAATAATCATAATCCAAAACTAGATGTATATTGTTAAACAATGATATCATAACTACCTATATTATACAATGTTCAACTTACATATAATTAAAATAATAAACAACAACATATTACTTTCTAAAAATTGCATGATGAGATGTGATCTAATTAGAGCAAAGGTTAACCATTTAAATAAAAACACATAATTGTTTATTCTTTAAAGATTTATTTAAAGAAAAATATTTCAATCCAAAAATAATAATAGAAGTACATACATGCTACTTTATACACTTAGAATTAATAGATTAATGTAATTCACTAAACTAAACTATATTTATTTAGATGCCTGTAACTACTGATATTTTAAACTATTTTTCACAGTAACTCTGTGATTTGATATCTATTGCAATTGATAACTGGAAATTAAAATAAGTCTTGTAAAAAATGAAAAAAATTCATTCTTGAAGCAGATGACATTTTTTTTCTGATACAATACTTATACATTTGTCAGTCTCAATATAACATAATGGCAGTAAAAGTTACAAATTGTATTTTGTAGTACAACAGGCACCGCGTTTGTAATTAAAACAGCATTATTTGAAAAAAAAAGAGATAAGAAGTTTGCGATTTTAAATATCACATTAAAATGGATTAGTAAACTCAAAAGTTCCACTAAGTTATTTAATATAATACTTCAAATATTTGGTGATTAATTAAAAAAAAAACAACCAATTATTATTAAAAACACGATATATCTGACAATACACACAGAAAAGATTAACTAAAAAACATAATATTAATAACAGTATTTATCACATGCTCAAGTGGTTTTGCATTATAATATAGTAGGTATCATAATTTCCTAAAATAGTTTATGATTCTTTAATCAATAAAAGCTATTCTTTTGTCTCGTACTTTTCCTCTAGTTTTTGTGCGCACCTTGAAGTTGGCAGCATTAATTTGTTGCTGTAAAAATGAGAAACAACAAAATAAGTATTTTGGAATGTATAATTTTTTTTTAAGAATTTGTAATTTTTCAACTCACCCTTTCGAGTTTTGATTGTTTGTTACTTAAAAGTGTTGTCTGACATAATTTAGGTCCAAGGCTCAATATGTCACGAACTAGATCATTTTCTGTCATATGCATGTTCATTCCAGATCCCAATGCTTGACACAAAACATCGTACTGCTTTTTAATGATCCATGAGTTCATTGTTAATATTTCTTGACCAAAACGTATTTGAATATTTGGAGGTTCATCCAACTATAAAGAACAAAAAGTATGTTAAATTCAAATTTTAAAGTATATGTTATTTCTATTGTACAACTTACTTCAACATAATGAAGAATTTGTCTAAAGTTTGATCTTTGTGTTTTCCTATCTTTTTTAGCTCTATACTTTTGTGAATCTGTTGCTAGTTCACGCAATTTATTAATAAATTCTTCATCTGGCTCATACTCATCCATGTCTTCACATTCACGTGCCATTTCTAACAGAACGGTTATTAATTCACCAGTAGCCATTCTCACTTCTAGATGTGTTGAGTCTAAGAGAGTACTCAATTCTGCTAAAGTACTACAATTGAGGGAAATAAATAAATTAATATTAGTTTTAATTATTTATAATTAACAACAGTAAAGCACCAAATAACTTACGGAATAATAGTAGAAGAATTTCTAATTGATACAGTGGACAGCAGGAGAGACCAAGAAGATAATGCTGCCGAATATAGAGCTGCTACCGAAGGAGGAATAGTTGTTGAATGTAATAAACGTCTCCATAAGTTGCGCATTAATTGCATAGCTGCATCAATTTCTTCATTACAACTAATAAAAGTTAATAATGTTATGGCCAAACAGCACTGAAAAATTAAATATTTACAATTAAAATCAACTTAATAACAGATAGAATTAGAAATACAATTTAGATATGGGCAAAAATAATCAATTACTTTTTCTCGAGCCAATAAGGGAACAGATTCATCATTAACAACAAACATAAGTGTAGGTAATAGTTCTTGACAAGAATGCTCTGCCATGTCCAATGCACCTAATTGTATACACAATAAACTAGCTAAATTAGCTGCTGCAGCTTTCTCATTATCGCCACCTTTTTTAAGGGCGCGCTCAATGGAATCAGTTATTGTCATACGCCTGTAGAATAAGTATACTTTTAAATTAATTTATTGTTCAACAAAATACCAATTATTACATTTTTGACATATGATATACCTGTTTAAAATATAATCGGGTATATATTTCTTGCAAAATATGTTACAAACACCTTCAAAACTTAATGTACGCCCTTGAGCAGACTTCTGAGATAAACCATCAATTGCATCACTTAGTTTTTCTTCAAATGCATCATTCTGAGTCTCATCAGTTTCATCAATAGCAACACCTATAAATTATTGAAATGAACAAATAAGTATGTAACTATGGTAGTTATGAAATAATCAATGGAATACTTACAGGAACGTTCTTCATTTGATGTGCTACAAGATAAATTACTGATTACACTCGCATTATCGTTGTATGATTCATCATCTGACATGTCTAAATCACGTCCTTTTCCAGCTAGTGTATCTAAAAATATACAGTTTATTTTGATTAATTAAAGTTTCTATTCAAATATATTGTTTGTTTAGTAATTTTCAATGGTAAAGTTAGTGAAAAGCGAGGTGAAAAGGTTTTTAATTTAATTTGTTAACATTTTGTCTTGTAGTTATTATCAATATTCAACTAATTAGGTATAGTTTGTACTTTGTTTAAACCAAGTATAACATTGGTACCTTAGAAAATTTATTTGTTCCAAGCAGTAAAAGGGATAAAAAAAAAATAAGAATTTATTTTAAATATAGAATTAAAAATCATTAGCAATTATAAAAATGAACAAGTTATAATTGTTTGTATGTACTTAATACCCTAAATTTATTCTAAAGTACTTATTCGAGATTTTATATTGGTACCTAGGTATCTAACAAAAGATGAAAATTTTAATTTAATGGACAAAAAAAACTTAATCAATACATTTTTAAACTGTACCTACCTAAAGGTTAATATTTATTGAAAAATAACTGCGAGCTAGAATTGTATTACATATTATTTATAATACAAGTTATTATATAATTATAATTATATCATTGATCTATTTTTTTTAACTCAATGTGACTTTCACTAATGAAATATATCCAACCACACATAATCTTGAACAACTTTAGTAATACAAAGTACCGAATATTGTTTTCATAATGTTTTTTGAATAGAATTTGTATGTTAGGTATATTTTTAATATTTTATAGATGTTTAAGTTTTAAAAATAATACAACATTAAATACCTAAGTGATAATAGGATTAATAAAAGGATTTAGAATTTTTTTTTATTAATATAGTTTTCAGTAACAACTAAAGGATTTAGAATTATTATAGGTAACTATTAATACTAAGACGATTAATGTCAAACGCCAATGTGGACCCGCACTTTACATTCTTTTTATGATTTTTAATGCTGTTTTCTATTTTTATTTTATCCTTCTTTCTTCTTTTGTATTTTTATTACCTTTGTTGATTTTTATTTACTTTTGTATCTACTGTACACAAATATTTTGTCAATTAGTTAAACTGTATGTTCATGCAAGAAGGGCTCAGCCCGTAATATATAAATAAATATTTGTATTTTAATTTAGTATCATGCAGCATTATATATATCTTCGAATTTATTCAATAATAGGCTATTAAAAAAAAAATTGTATAGTATATCAGTATCTAAATAAAAATAACCTTATAATTTAAATTAAATTAGAAAAAAGGAAATTATAGTTATTTAATGATAACTAAAATTGTCAATATCCACAGTATAATTAAATACTTAATTTATTTTAAGTAGAACACATTGATCATATATATACATAAAATCAAAAGGTAATACCTAAAACATTTATTTGTAAATACATACTTACTATAAAAAAAAATAATAACCAGTAAATAAGTAATAATATGACCTTACATTTTATTATATAAAATCTAAAACAAATCAATTAAGTTGGCTACTCCTTGTTATTATGCAGACAATGTTATGCTTTAAAAATAAACATTTAACTACTAAAACATTAGGTGTTAAATTACTGAATAGTGCTGCAATTTTACCAACCAATTCTTTAAACTTTTTTGATTACTGAAGTTGAAAATAAGCGGTATTAAAATAAAAATAGTGGGTTGGATCAGGGTGATCTAACCTGCGGCCATTCTTAGAAAATAGATATTTCATAATTTTAGTGTTTAATCTGTGATAAATTATAAAAAGAAAAACTAAGGTGGTGGGAGATGGCAAGATGGCAGGATTAACCTATACATACTTTAAAATGTGATAACTAGTTTATTATATTATATTATCATAATACATATGTTTGTTACAAAATACAAATAAACATTTTTTTTTCTTTTGGTGCCCCCCCCCCTACCCAGTGTTTATAACCATGTAAGTTGGCCTACCAATAAGAAAAGGTTAGATGGTATTATATGCATCTAGAAGTCAAATCAGGAACTCATTGAATCAGAATTGATTAAATATATAATTCCTCATATAATTCCTATTGATGGGTGGAAGAAAACTGTTCAATATGATTAATCACATTTATTGACTAATATTTAATAGTGATTCTGAATATCAATTAGAGTTGTATATTTGTACCTTGTTCCTAAAGTTAAACAAAGCACTATAGTTTAAATTGGGCATAAAGGCTGTCCATCATTTCAAAATCTCGAAAACTAATTTTTTTAATACTCTTGAAACAGCAAATATCTACTAAAATGGGTACGGATTATCGTTCGTATTCCAGATTTGAGCTCAAGCAGGGGATGGGGTTAAGCTCAGTAATGAGTGATCAGTGTCGCCCAGCATTGGCTTTAGTGTACACAGCAATAAATAAATCTCAAAATAAATCTTCACCGTCATATTTACAAAGGTCGATGACGCGCCATTTTTTTTTAGTGCCTACGAGGAAGGAAATCGTAAGATATTGAAATTGACAGAACAGGCTGGCGGGCCAGTCGTTAAAATATTCGAGAGGCGGGCCTTGATTTTCGTCGACGTTCAGGGTCGTCCGTGTAAACGGAGAAAAAAATTAATAAAAATCGCAACGATCGACGACTGGGCGGGGGGCCACTAGACGGACGGGAAGACGAAAACGTCGGCAGAGGCGCCGTATTTTCCGAGGCCATGCGGGAAAAACGCGGCGTGGCGTCACAACAACGGCGCGCGGTGGGCACATGGCGACCTACCCCTCCACCACCGCCGTCGCCACCTCGCAATATCGCGAAAACACGCAATTAGCGGGCGGTTGCCACACCGCGCGCAATCGGTGACGTCAACACGAAAGTACGACGACAAATGTAAATAACGACGAAGACGTTCCGTCACGGCCCAGGAAAAACCACGATCGTTTCTCGACATGATCATCGCCGTTTCTTACCCGTAGTAGACTTGTGGTGGTTGGGCCTGCGCTTTCCACGGGGCATGGTGGTCGTATCCGCGTGTACACGGCCGCAGTGGAACAACGAAACTTTTTAAGCGAAAGTCGGCGGCGGCGGCGCAGTCGTCCTGCGGTCGAGCGATCTTCGTCGTGCGGCGGTTGACGTTTTGTTTTGACGGCGGTGCGTTCGGCGGAAGTCGCGTTCGTGAATAGTCGTTGGCGGCTGTGAGAAACCATGCACATCATGCCAGCTGTCGGGTCGGGCAGCGAACGCTATACTGGATCGCGCGGAGCAGTGCGCTTTATTTTATAATAATAAAAGTCGAGAGTCGCACGCGCCACCGAGTACCGACGACGCATCGGGTCGGGTCGCGTCGGGTCGGGTTTAGTATTCTTGCCCATGGTGTCGCGTACGGAAAAAACCGCGGCGGCCGACCGTGATAACGCAGAGCGCCGACAGGTGGCGGTAGTGTCACTGAGGTGAAGGACTCAAGGACGACTTTCAGCCGTGGATGAGTGAACTTCTGTAGTAATTCGACTTGGTGGTGCCTGGTTTGAACCATTCATCATTATTTAGGCATAATAATAATAATAAAGTCTTTTGGACTGCGGAATCATTTTCATTGTACGCGTTACCAACCCGACGGCGCGTTGTGGTCCGTGTGCTCGCACTGTATCCGTCGCTGCTCCGTGTGTTCCACCCACGGATATAGATATAACGATGACGACCTTCTGGGTGATACGGTGACGAGTGATAACGAGAAATCATATGTCCGCGGATACGAAATACGAAAGTCGTCGGTCAGTGGAGACAGATCCGCTACGTTTTACATTTTATTATTATTTCGATATCTGCGGTTGAGTATCTTTTTTCGGCACAAACCGACACAGTGGAATAAGATCAGTTCAGCCCACCGGGCAATCGAGCAAAATGGCTTTGACCAGCGTCCAGAAGATTCTGTTCCGCGCGCCGCAGTCCGCTCGGCACATCACAGGCAGGGCTCTACAAGCGTCCCTGGGACCGAAACCGCAGAAACCCGCACCGTTCCCGTACAAAGAGAAGGATTACACGTTGTTCAATAGCATGTTCGACAAGACTACGTCGCGTTTCGATGAGAACAGCAAGCTGATCGTTCTTGAGGGACCTGTCGGAATCGGTGAGTTTGTGTGTTCTCACTTTATCTAGTTTGCTTATGAAACACCACCACAACATTAAACTGTTGTGCTGATGGTTATTATGTTGGGTTGACTGGTGCGCATGTGTATATTTTGTGTGTCACAACGTCACTTATCACTCTTCTACTTTTTTTTGTATTTTTAGGTAAGACGGCTGTTGGACATCAACTTGCCGATTTATTGGGTATGCATTTTATGCCTGACATTACTATGGATGCGTACTACATAAATGACTATGGTTACGATATGCGAAAACTGGACCCTCAACTGCCTGTCAATTGTCGTAGTTTTGACGAGCGTAATTTTCTCGAAAACCCGGAACACTTTAATGCTGCATCGTTTCAAATAATCAAATATAAGTTGCGCTATGCTCATTACATTGATGCCATCGCACACTTGTTAAATACTGGAGAAGGTGTAATTATTGAACGCAGTCCATACAGTGACTTTGCGTTTGTAGAAGCAATGTATAAATGCAAGTATATGAGTAAAGCAGCACGTGAAATGTACTATATACTGTACAAGCACGCTATGCCTGATTTGTTGCATCCTCATTTGGTTGTCTACTTGGATGCACCAGTACCAAGATTGTTAGACCTTGTAAAAGAAAGAAAACTTCCCCATGAAGTCAATTCTAAGGCGATGAATACAAAGTTTTTAGAAACCATGGATAGCGAATTGAAATATAAATTTTTAAGAGATATCAGGTATGTTATTAATCGCAGACAATTGTAATAATAACAAAAATATATAATAAACCATATAAAAGTAATAGACCAAGTATATGTAATGAACCTAATACATGTTTGACTTATCAATAAATACAATTTTTGATTTTAGCAACCGATCTGATGTATTAGTATATGATTGGTCAGAAGGTGGTGATGCGGAAATAATCGTGGAAGATTTAGAACGTTTAGATATTGACAACTATGATGAGAATGATCCTAAGATACAGGATTGGAGTTATTCAAGAGAACAATACTGGGCTGATGTACGAATGAAGTATGTTGTTGTATTTATCCAATATACATTAATTTAAAGATTATATTAATATCTATTCAACAATAAATCATAAGTTGTAAACAATATAACCAAGAGAGAGAAAACTTAAATAAATAAATAATCTTCAGAGATCCTTGAAATCAAGTCATTTTTAAAGAAAATCCAGTAGGTACTTTTAACAATTTACTGTGATGAACTGTGAAAATCGATTATAATGAAATGGAAAGAAAAATTGGTTGTAATCGAATATTTCTTACAAACAAATTTCCTATATTTTATTCTATTACCTACATAAAAAAAAAAAAATACATAATTTGCGAAATTTAAATAAAAAGTACAATTTATGATTCATTATACTTTAATAGTTCAAAATGTAGTTAAATTTTATTTTATTATATCATATAAGTCTTAAGGGTTTTCCACTATAGTTAATAGAAACAAATCAATGGTGGTAAAAGGAAAAGGGAAAAATAAGCCTATAAGAAATGTTTATAATTTAGGCTTCAAGGATTGAATTGTATAAAGAAAAACATCTCGCCATAAAGAAGCTATAACAGAGCTAGTTTGCCTTGAGTTTTTAAAGAAATTTGATAACAAAAATTCCTTGTTATCTCTGGAGGTTAGGTTCCAGCAAATTCAAAGTTGCGAAGATAACAATATCATTATACAGCTTTTGTATGGTAGTGATAAATTGTATGAATTATTAAATAAAGATTATTTCTGACTCGATACCCCAAATAATGAAGGATTACTGTATATGAAATAAGTAGATCAAGTAGATAGTTAGAAATATTTAATTTATTTCTATCCTGCTTTATTTTTTGTGATTGTACAACAATTAATTATTTATTTATGTTCATAGATATACCAATGATAAAGAAGAATTACTTTCTAATTTTAACGTCCCTCTTGTTGATGCTCCAGAACTTCTTATACCTGGCGAAGAAGCTGAAGTTCTTACCCATGCTTGGTTCCAAGTAAGAATAATATTTTTGTTTATAATATAAGGAACTTTTGTTAAACTTAATATTTAAAATTCATATTGTATTATATGCTGTAGAAATATTTAGTATATTATTAATAAGTCATATTGGTTAATACACACAATTCTTAAGAGGATGCCAGTGCATTTTTTTTTCTCTGTCTGCTCACTCGCAACATACCAAATTTTATGTTCACAAATACGATTATAATCATATTTTTAAAATTAGAGTGAGGTAAGACAATTATCTAGGACATCTCAAGTTGTTTATTATATTTTAATCTTAAAGCGAGTTATGAGTATTTTAAAATTAAAATTTATAAAATAATTAATAAATAGTTTTTAAGATGCCCTAGATCTTTTCTTACCTTTAAATTGTATAAGATGTCATTCACTCTAATTTTAGAAATTGTTATGATTATAATCATTATTGTGAACTTAAAATTTGCTATGTTGTGCATGGGTGAGTGTAAAAAAAAAAATGCATTGACATCTTCTTAAGAACCAGTCAAATTTTCCTATACTTATTTATATTGTTTGGTACAACCTGTTGGTAAGTGTGAACAAATTAGGTTGTACCTTTGGTGTCAAATTTATTTTTGCTGTTCATACAAATATATTTACCTAGGGGACAGGGACGAATTGGAAGATTTTTCTAGACCGAGAAAATAGATTAGACCCTTAGCACTATTATAGTCCTTTATTATAATAGATTAAAAAAATATTGTGTGAATGCCTATTTAAATTATTTTATTTGTGGATAGATGTTAAAAAATTACTTGTAGTATTATAATATTTTAAATTTCACAAAATATTAAATTAATCAAATCTAATTTTTAAATAATTTACTTACGTTTTTTATTTCTGGGCATTGTGTTTATTATAGAAATGTTTTTGATAAATATGAATTTAGAAAATAATAACAAATAAATTCTACAATAAATGTAGAAATTAGGTTTTTATCAATAAAATATCACCATGTGTACAAATACTAAACAACTGTTAATTGACATAGTTTTAATATGAAACGGAAATATTTTATTATGAAAATAATTATTTTTCAGTACCATCTTAAAATTAAAAATGATTTTTTTGTTAAAACTTAGTTGTATCTTTTTATAAAAATATAAGGTTAGGATATAATTATAATTCCAATAATAATACTTGAAGCATTAATCTGATCATTATTTAATCTAAAAATTGATTACTAACCATTAGAGGTCTCTTATCAAGTATATTTTAATGCAAGGGTGCCCATTAGGGAAATGATAGTAATTTTTAATAGTTATTGTTTATCTATGTTCTGCTATTTAATAAAAGAAATTTTGTTGGTTCTTAGTTTTCTTATAATATTGTCATTCCCCTAGGTTCAGATTCATGGACACCCTTGCTTCATTTTAATACCGTTTTAATGAATATAATTTCTTAGGTTCCATACATTTTAACTTGTTTAACTGACTTTAAATATTATTTACAGGCCGAAGGAAATACACATGCATATGGTTATGATCCAAAATACCACAGCTTAACAGAAATATTATTCAAAAACAAGTATAAGAAAGGGTGGAGTCCAATATCCTAATTGGACAATACATTTATGATATTGTATAATTAAATTCATAAATATTAGGTTAGCTAAGACAAAAATACTCATTATTCTGTTCTGTTTAAAATATATTTTGCGTTATCTCGTCAAACATTTCAATACATTATACAATATTACTAGTGTGAATGTGTGGCTATTCATTAACATTATTCCTATTTCCTAAATAATGTAAGTCTAAAATAATGACAATATTGTACTTTTTGAACTTGTGATTTGTGATTCTAATTTATATTATAATGATTAGTGCTCAAAAGTTGTAGGAGTATTATTCTATGTGCTTTCGATTTATGGCAGTCCTAGCTATACAACGGTGAGTTTGAAAATTGAAAGTGCATTTGTCATACATTTTAGGGTAAGTGCATAGTTCTTGATTTTCATGCCCATATTATGCATATTTAATATTTTCTTACTAAAAATTGATCTTTTTCTCTCTTAATCTGAATATTTTAATAATAATGTTGAATATTTAACTCAATATAATTTAATGTAGGTAGGTATTTATTGTTATTGTAGCAGTTGACAAATAATTCAACAACAACAGTGCAATATGCATTTAAACTCCATCTCATTAATATTCCCATGTACTATCTTTTCGGTCATATTTTTTTCAGTTCAACAAAACAGTTTTCCGCCATATTTTAAATATTAAAAATTTTTTTTGTACTTATTAATAGCGACCTAAAATGATTTTTTTTTTATGAATAATTGATTAAATTGGTGTTTTGCATAATATTTGACACTATTTGCATGTTTTTAAGCTCCTACAACTTTCGAGCCCTATTTTTATTGTATGAATAATTTGCCAATTAATTTTGAATATTTTGAAATAGTGATAACACCGGAGAAGTAAATATTGTGATAAGGTTATTGTAAGAAAAATGTCAGTATTCTCGATTTCCGTGTAAACAAATATAATATTATAATCACAAATCAGCGTTCTCTGCAGCCTGCAATGCTCTATGCAGCACACGATAAATTAAATTAAATTTATCATGATGCAGCAGCTGCTGCTGCCTGTTGGTACTTGGTTCATTATAGTATTGTAATCTATAAACCTTGGGTTCGTTATGCGATAGTGATTATTCGTCGGACGTTGGTCGTGTTATTGAATATTTGCGTTTTGAAAACATTCAGTTTTCCCATGTCGACAAATCGTTACGTGATTACGTAACAGGGAACTTACATCGCAAATCTCAATATCGCATAATTTACTTACTATTTTTTTTTGTGTAGAGGTACATAGTTTTAGTTTACTACCGTCAGCGTCATTATCCTTCGGCACTTTTTGAAACCATACGCACGTTTCTTTTCAACTTTGGTCTTTTTTCGGTTTCTTTTTGAATAGAAAATGCATTCGGAACATTTGGTGACCCATGTGTTGTTATTCGTCATTTGTGCCACAGCAGTGGTCTGTCTGAAGAAAGATCGGTTCTTTTGCGAATTGTCTTCCTCGTGTATGTGCATTACGGTCAATGACAACAGCAATATCGACTTAGGTGGACTGAATTTGACTCTGACAATCGCAGATAACCAGACGTTGAACTATCAACCTTGTGTCAGTGAAATCGTTGTAAGTATTTGGTTCCACGATAAACACTTCTGTATAATTCATTTAAAGGCTGACGGTTTTAATTTTAAATCAAATAGTTATTTATAAAATATGTGTATCGCCATTAATTTTAGTTCTCAAACATTTTGTTGAGTAGATGAACAAATTTTTTATCCTTCTAAGTCACTGGGTAGGGAAACCGTTTCCTATTAATTAAAAATGCATTTTTTCTGCTTTACAGTGAAAAATATTAATTTTACATTTTGTGAACAATTTTGAAGCAATGGTTTAGTGTTAGGCAATGTGTTCATACTCTAGGTATTAAATAATTTCTTCAGAGCAATACAATTTTCAGTGAATTACAACCAGAGTTTTCCATACTGTATTCAAAGGCTATTTAAAAAATAATTATCCCAAGAGTAACCAAGCCACATAAAAAACTTGTTCAAACTATCATTTCCAACTATAGGACATGCATCCATTAATATTTGTATGAATCACGTGATTCAAATGTATCTCCTTTCAACTGCCACTTCTCTAGTTACAATTTTTTTGTGCCGTTAATTAGCATAAAAGGTGCCAAAGAAAGAAATTTAAAATAAAAATATTATATAAATGTTCTATTATATGTAACACTTAATTTACAACTGGACATACATAAATTTATGAATTTAAAAATGAAATGTAAAGTACATCTAGAGAGATGTGTGTAATATCCAGAAAAAATATAATCTGGAAATTTATGGCTTTTAAATATTTTGTAAATTTGATTGAATTTTTAATGTAAAATAGGTATGTGAAAATAGTAGTTTACCAACATTTCCACTGTTGGTTATTTCTATCACGTATTTTTGTAATTTGATACCTGCTGCATATTTAAGTTAATCAAAAAATTTGTTATCTACCTACTAAAATGTTTTAGTTGTTGTAATCCTGTTGTTAATTTTAATTGCTCTGAAATAAATGTTTATATCTATAGTATACCTATAGCTACTTAATAAAAAAAAAATATACTCACAATATATTTAAATTAAGTGCCTAATTGTTTCGAATACATAGTTATGAATATTACATCTTGCGAACAAATAGGTGGTTAATTTCTCTAATACCTAAGTCATTTTTTCTCCCTATAGCATTTTTGATATTCATCTATTAGTATTAAATGTTCTATTAATTATTGAATTTAAAAGTAGGCTATTAGTTACATAAAAAATTAAAGACTAATAATTTAAAGGTATTAAATTCCATTATCGTAATATATTTTAAATTCGTCTATATAATTGTACGTACAAAAAAAAAAAATATTTTTGTTTAGATCGTAAATGGGACATCCGATTCTTCAATACAAGTTGCCAATTATACGCATGCTAATGTTAAACTAACTGACTTGGTAACATTTATCTATACAAATGACGAAAGCCAACAGTAAGACTGTTTGAATGATAACCTATTATACATATTTAATACTTAATTTATTTTATAGCGAGTTTGATGTAATTTTGGTATGTGATGAATTGGCAGTCAGTGGAAACGAATCTTTGACAAATTTCAAAAATGTCACAGCTAACCAATGTGTAAGGCTTACGTTTGTTATTTGCTTGTTTACTCATCAAATTAAATTATTTGATTATATTTATAGACGGTTGAACTTAAAACCAGTAAAGTATGTGGATTGAATTTAAGCGACGCGTATGAAAACAACCCAGATTCAGAATCTTGGACTTACTTTTTTTCATTTGTCTTGGTTGTTGCATTTGTTTACTTTGTTGGCGGATCTGTAGTAAATGCTTGTTTATTTAATGAAATTGGTATAAATATGATTCCTCATCATGCATTTTGGTTGTCACTTTATGATAAAATCAAGGTTTGTCCTTGCATTTTGGTTTATTTTTAACAATTTATTATTAATTAAAGTGTACTTTTCTAGGATAAACTATGCGGCACATCTACAATGGCAACTGCTTATGAAAGCATATAAATATTTTTTTTTCCCAAACAAAAATAAGATGCTCATGCACGCTGTATTGCTATTTGCTGGGCGTAATATTGCTGATAAAAATATTATATATTTTGTATTTTAATCTTCTTATTTCCAAAGGAAACACTGTATTAAATCATTTTATTGTTTTGTGTATTATTGTTTAATTTGATGAACATATTATTTTTATTTTCATTAAAACATATATTTAAATTTTATTTCATTGTGATAATGTTCTCAATTTATTATTAATAAAAATTAAATTGTGACCAGGGTCTTATCATATGTATTATTGTGATCTTAAAATATTTTAGAAGTCATTAATATTATTCAAAAACATGTTTAAGTCAATGTTGTAAAAATGTATCATTATGAATGAAAATTATTTTATGATTTAGATTAATTCAGAAATACTTTCTTAATAAAATAAATCCCATCAAGATTATTGGATTTTCAAACAAATACTGCCAAAGAATAAATAAAAAGTATATTTACTTTTATAACATTATATAATTTAATTAATTTTTCTATTTCAAAAAATAATATTTATCGTAAGATAATTTTGTTTTTAACATGAGTTTATATTTTTTTTCAACATACCAACCTACCTTAAAAAATTTGTTTTAATTTTCGGCATTGGTCATTTTAGAAATGCAATTTGTCGATGAACAATTAATTTTATAAATCTAGCTTTTTAAATTAATTAATATTTGGTTTTTATAATACAATGTAGTAAATATTTGCTAGTCTATTAATTAGTGTAATTAGGTAATTTTTTTTTTAGTATGTTTTAAAATTCAATGCAATTATATAGACTGGTATTTATTATTTTACTATAATAGGTATATAATATAAAATATATGTTGTTAAGTATATTTTTTGAGTTACCAGTTTCTAAAAGTACTTAAATGTTGGTTGATACTAAGAATCATGATTTTTTTCTTTTATTTTATATGACTTATATTAAGGTAATACATTATTGTGTGTATAGTTAATCAAAAATTGTTTCATTATTGTATAATTTTTTTTTTTTGTTTTAAATGTAACAACATCCTTCAACTATTTAGATTTTTATGTAGTACCTTTACTCTATTCCTTGTAAGAGCAATTACCGACCTGAAAATGGGTGTTATATGTGACTAAACTGGTAGCAAACTAGCAAATCGGTTGACGCCATGGACTGTTCTTGTGTGGGATAGAGTATTGTAATTTTTTTTTAAATGTACATTTCAAAGAAGTAAAATGGTATAAAACTTATTTTTGAATGAATGTTGAGAAGTAATTTGTATTTATTAACTGAATATATTATTTTAATCTGATATATAAATAATTGAGAATGTCTCTCTGAAATAATAGATTTATAATAATAGATCTGCACACTGTTCTGGTGTTACAGAGTGGGGCACTGCTTCCCCCCTAGAATTTGCAGCTAGGCGTTTGGTAATGTGGTACGTCGTTGACAGTGTAAATTGTGAAGAAACTCATATTATTCTTGGGTACTTTAATGTGAAACCTTGTATGTATTCCAAGCATGAAGCACTACATAGGTTTCCTAAAAAAATTCCCAAAAGTTGGCTGCCACCTAAACTGTATTGTACGGTACCGTGTGTTTCATTAAAATATATATTGTGCAATCATTACAATAGTGATTATTGTTAATTACGAAGTTATATTATCTTAGCTATGTACAGGTTCCATTCGGGTTTTTATATGTTGTTTCTATAAAATAATGAATATACATTATTAATACTTATACTTATAATAAATAATATTTAAAGTTAAATAAGTAGGTACTAATAATTATAAGCAGTGCTGCCGTAAATAGTAAAAATATAAGAATATCCAGCGCCACTGCCACGGCCCGAGCTAAGTAAAAAAAAATATAGCGGTGGCACGACAGTGTATATCATCTATTTATCTCGAAGCAAGAGTTGCCCAATTAAACAGTGTAAATGTTGGTGTTTTTTTCAACCGGACCCATCTAATTATTTACTGAATCAATTAATAGATAATAAATTGGAAAAATTCAGACAAATTGTGCAGATGACCTTTTGCAAAAATCATCGAAAGTACTGTTGGAAATTAAGTTATTAAAGGAAACGTGCAGACTTTTTAACAAGAAATTTTAATGAAATGTGGAATCAAGGTGGCCGCATCTCCGTTGTCGTGACGACCGGCTCCCCCACTCCATTTCGCATATGCAGTACAATATTATTGCTATCCTACATATTTTGCGTATTTATTAATAGTTTAATTTTGTAATCGACTGGCGATTGTCGCTTATTAAATTAAATTATAATACATAAATTAGTTTATTGTGTATTAGACAGTGTGTTATTACCATGCTCGAAGTTATAAAATGCCAACTAAAGTTTACAAACTGAATAAAAAAAAATAAATGCTAAGTAAATTGAATTTATGTACACTTATTTCAAAAAACAAGTTTAGTTAAAAAAATTAAACCTTTGGTATCCATGAAATGACCTAAGTAGGTAGTAATAAAGAGAGATGGCCTCGTTGTGATAAAGACGTTTCTATAATAATCCTAGAGAGGACAAATTCATTGGTGATATCACGTAAAAACACATCGTCGAACTACGGATAAAAAGCGGCTAAGTAAAAAAAAACATATTTTTAAGCATTACAAAGATGTGATATCATGAATAAAGTAAACTAAGTAAGGTTCGTTAGGTTAAGTTTAGTTAACGGCGTTAACGCTAAGTAAATTGAATTAGTACTGAATAAGCGTACCTACTTTAATTTAGTTTGTTTACCATTTATATAGAATATCTTATATCACATCGTTATAGTGCTTAAAGATCTCTTTTTACTAAGCCGTTTTTTACACGTAGTTCAATGAAGGGTTTTTTTGTGATTCCACTTAAGGTTATATTCTGTTCAAAATGCAATAAGTCGGCGAATAGATGTAGGTACACAACAATCAGTGGTGCAACTATGGGGTTGCTTTAAGGTACTTAAGCAACCCCAACTTTAATTTAAACACCCACAAGTTCTATGTCTTTGTAATTTCAAATATTTATGGTTTTAGCAATAATTTAGGTAATTTTTTTTAAAGATTTTTTCCCAACTTGTACGAGGCCATACAGGTTGCATTAACCATATACCTGTCAGTTCTGCGACATTCAAACGAAGTTTTTCTTCTATGAGAAGATTTAAAAATTGGTTGCGGAGCAGCATGTTACAGAAACACTTATAATAAGTATTATAAGTGTGGAGAGAGACCTATACCTAATGACATTGTACCTGAAGAAATATTATATACATTTGCAAGTATTGATAGAAAACTATGTTTGATACTATAAAATAAAGTATAGTAAAAAAATTAAATTTATTTTCAATTAATGGTATAATAATTGTGAACAGTTACTGTATTATAATCTAAATAATGGTACTATGTAATGTTGGGGGGGGGGGGTTGTAATGGCTTGCTGAGTGATTCATTATGGTAGCACCCCCAAGATTTGAACCCTAAGTTGCTCCACTGACAACAACAAGGTTAGGTGGTCATATATATCTATGATCGGGCGTGTTTTTATGATGAACGGATGAACGGTCATCTAGAATCTAGATCCTTGTTTAACTATACAGTTTCCCGTGATCCAAATGATACAACTGGCAAAACTATGGGGAATTAGTAGGATGGAGATCTAGGTGAGACGTTACCGGAATAATGAACCACTGTCAAAGATCCCGGTAAGTTTTTTGGTATGTCCAAGTGAAATTTCTGACCTTCCGATCAATTGTAAGTATTGTTTTGGGTCATACACTCGAGCAATACCTAATAAAGTAATAAATAATAATTATATTGATGTACTTTAATACCTATTTGTATTTTTTTATCGAGTAGTAGCTGGATCGGTAGGTGGTAGGTGACTGGTGTGACCTTAAATCCGTGAATACGAGTTGCGATATATATATATAGTTAATGCTATATTATTTTTCGTATTGCCATAAATAATTATTTCGATCTTCGGGTACGCGAGTAAAATATGATTATAAATTGCACTAGTGGTTGCACATACCAGTATAAAATAATATAGTATTTTTTTGTTCCGAGGTGGTAAATTTTTGGTAACATATTATTTTATATACTACTCTATAGGTAATCTCATGCACTTCGTTGGCCATTAAAAATGCTAACTCTACATTATGATACTCGCTTGTGATAATGCGAGCCGTATAATAGTCGGTAGGCAATCCACCTGTGGTGGATTGAGGGGCTTATGGCCCGTTTCCGACAAAAACTGGTTCCCTGATTTAGGCATACCCATTTTCCGCCAAAATCTATTTTTGTGAAAAGACGTTTCTGCCAATTATTATTTTATTATTTGGGAACGAGGTACAATTATAATATTTTCTTATCAAATGAAAATATCCTTATTATAATTTAATTACATGTCACATATTCATTATATTTAAATATTGAGATATTTCAAATTATAATACAAGTAGGTACATTATAATAAAACATTAGTCGAATATGAGCACAATTAAATTAGGGTTTTAAAAATAAATACATAAAAAATATATAAATATAATCGATAAAAAAACTATAAAACACAAGTAAAAAATAAGAGTATAAGATAAATATATGAAAACATAATTACATATGATAAAAATAACAACATGTTTGAGGAATTAAGAGCTTCATTTAAATCTTTATAAAATTATGATTTTTCAGAGAAATTAACTGCCATAAATTGTTGTTTTGTTTGTGATTGTTCTGAACTAATGCCCTTGAGATTCTTGTCAGTTTTTAAATGTTGAGACACATTAAATTTACAATCGGAATTTACATCAGTTTCTCAAATCTTACAAAATTAAATACTTGAATCGATTGTTAACATATTAGAACCGTATTCACCAACCTAACTACGAATGAACTGTACTGCGATTCAATGTTTATTTTTTTAGACATTTTAAAGTTATTTTAAAACATGGGATTAGATGTATAGTTTACCTTCACACACGTACGACAACTGCAGGATTGGGAGTACTAAAATTAAAACTTGCAATCGACAGTCGTCCATAAGTTATAAGTACATTGAAATGTTTGATATTCTAATGCAATGGCCAATGATACAATGAGGGAATAACACTGACGTCATCAACTATTAATACATCGGACTGTCAATGAGTTATAAGGCTGCGAAAGTGTGAAAACATGAAATATTATTTGCTAAGGCCTATTTATTTTTAATAATTCAAATATTTTTAAAAATATAATTAAGTAAATCAATACTTTCAATAATATGCCAATATTTCATAAATTATGTGAAAGTATGCTCAAAATAGCATTGAACACCCAAAATTAGCAAAATAGCAATAAAAACCGTAAATATGCAAAACAATGTAAAATGCAATTTCGTGTATGACATCAGAGACGTGAAACGTATTTGCATCTTATTTTGGATGTTCTAGGACGAACCAAGAAAAATATGCATTTGCTACAACTTTCGAGCCCTGCAGATTACATTTAAATGGCTTTTTTTCGATATTAGTTTTTATATGAACTTAATGCTTTCATCTAACAGTAAAAGTAATAATATCCTAGAAACTATGCCAAAATTAATATTATGAGTTTTGTTTTAGAATAGGTTTTAGAAAAAAGTGAACTTACATTAGAGGTTCTTTAGTTACAATTGTTATATTATTATAAAACATTGTACATTTTTATGTTCATTCTCCATAATTATCTAATAATAAAATTGAATATAAGATGTATGGTGTACAATTTAAAAAAAGTTATAAGATAGAGAGTGGGAATAATCGTCTGATCACAAAAAAAATCAACCAATATTATACAACTACTCTGTTACCACAGGACTTGGCTGAGGGTCACCACAAAATATGTACTAAAACCTTTAATCAGATTTATTATTTTTTTTTATTGGTATGATACTTTATATGTGATCTTAAATACGATGCTAAAGAAAAAGCTTTATTACAGATATCACATTTAAATGGCTTTTCCCCTGTATGGCTCCTCGTATGACCTATAAAACTGTTTAGAGAAAATAATGTTTTATCACAGAAATCACATTTATATTGGTCTAAATTATCTCTAACATGAACTCTTACAATATGATCTTTAAGACTACATTTCACATTAAATGATTTAGAACAAATGTCACATTCGTAAGGTTTTTCCTCTGTGTGTGTTCTTCTATGATATTTTAAATGGTGTCTTTGAGTAAACCTTTTATTACAGATATCACATTTAAACGGCTTTTCTCCGGTATGTGTTCTCATATGGAGAATTAAATTTGGTTTATCGGAAAAAGTTTTAGAACAGATGTTGCATATTAAAGGCTTAATTACTATGTGTGACTTTTTATGAGTATTTAAACCCGATGATAGAGAAAACCTTTTATCACAAATCTCACATTTAAATGGCTTATCTCCAGTATGCATTCTCATATGATCAGTAACATATTTTTTTTCCCTAAATCTTTTTGAACAAATGTCGCATTTAAAAGGTTTTTCTTCACTATGTGTCAATATATGGTTTTTTAAATGTTCTCCACGAGTAAATAGTTTATTACAGATATTGCATTCATACGGCCTTTCTCCTGTATGTGTTCTCATATGAACGGTTATACTTGATTTCTTAGTCAGTTCCAAAGAACAAATTTTGCATTTAAAAGGTTTTTTATTTGTATGTTTCCATGAATGATCTTTTAAACATTGTGCATAAGAAAATCTTTGATCACAGATATCACATTTAAAAGGTTTTTCTCCAGTATGTGTTCTCTTATGGCTAATTACACTTGCTGCTTCAGAAAACCTTCTATCACATATATCACATTTATATGGTTTTTCACCAGTATGTGTCCTTATATGCATTTTTAAATTTGGTAACCGAGCAAATTCTTTATCACAGAAATCACATTTAAATGGTTTTTCTCCAGTATGTATTCTTTTATGACATGTTAAACTACTCGAAGAAGTCAATGTTTTATTACAGATATCACATTTGTATAGCTTTTCTCCAGTATGTGTTCTCATATGGATATAAAGTTTTTGTTTAATATGAAATGTTTTATCACAGATGGTACATTTATAAGGGGTTTTTCCGGTATGAAGCAGTAAGTGTTCTTTCAAATGAGATTCCATAGAATATGATTCATCGCAAATGTCGCAGACATATGTATTTTTGTTTTTATTGGTATGAATTTTCATATGACTAGTCAAAAGTGCTTTTGAATCAAATGATAAATTGCAGATGTCACATTTTTGATAATTTTCTTGTAAGTTAGATATCTTGTCCGAATTCATACGTGCAATGAGTTCCGATGAGTGGCTTTCAGTAACAACTGTTCCTTCAAATTCACAGCCATCAATAAAATCTTTTTCAACTTTAATTTCTATATCAATTGTCTTTACTTTTTCTCCAGCTTCACATAAAATTCTAAAAAATAAAATTATTCCTAAATTAAGTAAAGGACAATAGTTATATTTGTAAACCATGGTGATTAAAATAAAAAAAATGGACAAGTGAGTTCCACTCTGCAGTAGTGTAGTTGTCAAGTATGTCATTTTAATGGATGTGTTATATTTGAATTCAATGATACGCAATTGCATTCAAAAAACTATTCTGATCGAAGACGTTGTGTCATTCTAGCATACTTGTTCAATCATCAAATTTAATAATTTGAAAAAAATTAATAAAATCTAAAATGCATATGTTATATTTCTAAGTTTTTTAATACTTTCAACAACAATTGAAAAATGTATTTTAATACATTAAGTTAAATAGTGAATTATAATAACATTTGATTTATAGTTAGAATTTGTTATCTGTTTTTAAAGATTTTGACAACGTACGTGAAGAGAATATAAATCCGGTCTTAGCTCATGATTCGTGATCAGTTTTATGTAGCTTCTTCCTGCTTACTTAAGCTCAGAAAAATATCTTTTGTAAATACTATGAGTAACATGCTACTAGATATTTTGCTTCTGTACGGAAAATTGAGTAATCACAGATATGTTTTAATGTTTAGGAAAAATATCGAGTTGCATGCTACTTTTTGTTGGGGAATAAATTAAATTTTTTCTTGTTTTAATTTTTATTGTAGATTTGAGTTTTTATGAAAATATAAACAAAGCTTTACAAAATCGATTGAAAAAAAAAGTTGCGCCCGTCACAAGAATATATCTATGTTACATACCTAACCTGACCAAAAAGCTAATAATATTTTTACAAAGAAATATTAGAAAGTCAATAAGTTTAAAATGTTTGTACATAACATTGTTTAGTTAAAGCTAAATTCGCACAACAAACAATCCCAATACTTAATCTAGCTCAGTGATAGTAGATTAGTGGGTTCAGCAGCTTTTAATAAAATACAAGATGAAATTTTTTGAAATTTATGACATTTAAGTGCATTTTTAACGTGTTTAGGGCATTATTTATATTTTCAAGCCACTTTTGAACCTATTTCTAGTATCTAGAACATAGATTTTTTAATGGTATTTAAATATGAGCACTAGTTATCACTTTTCCTTGATAACAAAGAAACAAGAGACCTCTTCATGGCATAAATCTTTAGGCCTGTACAGGTATGTTTTATGGAGAGTATTTTTACATGACTGGGGAGAAGAAAAACTATCAGTCAGTTATTACTTATTATGAATTGTACTTGTTTACAAAAATAGTATATAACTATATTAATGCACCTATGTTATTAATTTATTATATTATGATTAATAAATTGTTCAATATTTTGATGCATAGGTTAGGAATGATTGAATTTCATATTACATTAAAATTTAAATACAATTCTTACCCCGTATTTTGTAACAATTGATGATCATATGATTTATGGTCCATTTCATCGACAAATTCTTCTTTAATAACTGTATTAAATACTTGATCACACCTAAAATTTTTTTTTGCAAATTTGTAGTTAATTATTTACTATACTTTTAAAATTAGATACAATGTACATAATTACATCAGTTAAAAAATGTTGCATTATTTTTAGCTGTTAAAAAAATATTTATTAAAACTATTATCGGCCAGATAGGGAATTACCTAACTGATAATATTAATGGGAGACAGAGTGGCTGAGTAGACTAAGGCGTCGGTCCAAACTCGGACTGTCCATGGTACGAATCCTGGCCATGGGCGGCATCGCTCTCTGAGCAGGCAACTGCCTAGCAGTGAGGCCGCCCTCCCCCAACCGGGCATGGCAGAAACCTACAAATACTTAACCTAACCTGAACTAGAAATTTTGCCGAATAGGCGTCTGCCTACGCCTTTAGGCTTACTCACGGACATAGCGCCATTTGCAAAAAAAAATTTTACGAACAGATATACCTATATGGAAAATAATGTTTCTATACAGATTTTTATATGTTATAATATTATGTTTAAGATCAAAATTTTCCAATTTTTAAACATAACCATCTTGTGGTATGAAACATATTTATACATCACTCTGTTCTGTGATCATTCTGTCAAATATGAAAAAACTAGAAGTCCTCAGCCCTAGTTATAAGTATTTAAAAATTAGATTGGCAGAGTATAGTGGATCAGTGGTTTTTGGGGTAACTGAGGACCATTCTACTTGGCTCATCAAAACTTTAAATACCTATAACTCATAAACTATTTGTCTTAAATTCAATTTTTAAGCATTAAAATACTTAGAAAAATATTCTGCTTTGGAATATGAAATTAAAACTGTACCCTGTCATTAACAAATTTATCAACTTTAAAAATGTGAAGGATAAAAATATATATCATTTTTAAAACTTGTTTTTTAACAACTAGAATGTAAATTTTTTTTCAAAAACAATTACACTGTAATTGAATATAATTTTACTAATTTATTTACACGATACTTGGGTACAAGACATAAACCTAATAATTTTGCATGACTGGGCAGAAAAAAAATGTTAGTTATTATGAATTGCACTTGTCCACAAAAAAAAGTATACAACTATTATGTACCTAGGTTTTAATATTATGATTAATATTTTTGTTTACATATAGGTTAGGTATCATTCAATTTCATATTAAACTATAATGTAAATACATATCTTACCCGATTTGTGATTGTACCCGATGATCATTACAAGGGTCTATTTTATCAATAAATTCTCGTTTAATGGATGTATTGAATATTTGATCATCACATCTAAAAAGTGGAATCGTTAACACTCTAGAACTTTTTAATAGACAATCATACCTAAAAAAAATTGAAAAAAAAATTATTTACTATAAGTAGGTATGCATAAGTTATAAAAACAACTAGTCTAGCTTATGGAAAGTAAATGTTCAAAGCCAATGGATTTATTGTCTTTTATTTATTATATCGTATCATACTATACACTTTATAAGAATCTCGCCCAAACACATAACTTTTATTTTTTTATTTTTTTTTTTTTTTATTGAACTTAAGCTTCGGCAACTGAGGCCATTAGCTGTAGTAGGATTTGTATTGTAGTTTGTATTGTATATTTTTTGGAACGGTAGGGGGGAACACGTGTGTGTTTGTTTTTGGCAGAATTTCGAATGGGGCACCCGTAGGTTTCTGCCATGCCCCGGGGGTGGGGGATGGCAGCACTTGTTCTCCGGTCACCGCGACTTGTCCGGAGAAAAATGCTGCCCGGTAGCCGAGGATCGAACCGCGACCGGCTGCGTCGCAGCGGACGCGTCAGACCACTCGGTCACCTCATCCCCCATAACTTTTATTATGTGGGTGAAGAGGCTTAAACCCATAATGTCCATTTGGGCACAAATCATTGGCCTCGAACGTTCACTTTTTGTGAGCAGGATTGAAGGTAGTTTAAGAAAATTCAATTATTTCAAAATGTAGGATACAATTACATATTTTTTGTAATATTACACTGATAGTGTATTTGCTCACTTGGAATTGATCGTTGAATCATTCACTGTTGTTCTTGACATTTCCATACTGTATTTTTATATCTTCCTTAATGTTTTTCAATTACTGTAAACATGAACCAAATAAATAATAATGTACATAATATGTGTTTAAGTGGTTAATTGTATGAGGCTGTGTATAATCAGTATATAGATAAAATGGATAATTATAGCAAACTTATGACTAAGTGAGTTTTTTTGTACCTACATATAGAATATCATCATTTGAGTATTCAATTTTGTATTAAATATTTTATTAATATGGGGACTATAAATAAACCGTTGAAAAGAGATACATTTATTACAGCTTGAAGTTACGTGGTACTTACCGCTTTAATTTGTCACAATGTTAAGGATTTAAGCTGTTGTTTTTTTAACATTTAATTTAAAGCTGACAGGAGGCGGTAGACGATCACCGCTGTTTGGTTTGTTAGGACGGGATGAATTAAAAAAACACACAAAAATGACATTTAAAATTTGCAGCGTTGAATTACAGAAGGCACGTGGATTGCGATTTGCGATAGACGCTGTTACAGTGTCACCTGTTGTGACAGAATAGTTTATGTTACTAAGATAGTTTGCTACACGATGTAGATAATACGGTGTAAATGTGTAGTCAGCCATTGAACTCTTTATGATAACTGGAATGCTCACCAGCCATAAGATCAATGTAAACATAACCGAGATAGCGTGTTAGAAAAAGACAGCAGATAAGAATGGTGCTGCTATCTCTTCTTATCACAGATATACTTATATGAATTATGATTGTTCACCAATACATTTTGAATAATATTGTTGTTTTTAACGTTTTGTTTTATGTTTTAAACTCAAATTTAAAAAATTAAAACAGTGGGTAGTTAAGATTTTAAGATGGTGAATCTTTGTTTTTGTTTCAATTGTGCTAGTTCTAGTGTCCTAGTGATTTTAGAAAAGACTTGTCATTTCACAAGTTAGTATAAAGAGTTAAATAGTATTATTGATTTTACTTTACACATTAATCATTTGATACAAATGTACATATATTTGATAAATATTTTGAGCTACACGAATTTAGCATTAAATTTATTAACAAGAGAAAATGAACCATGAATAAATTTCCTGTACTTTAAGAGTGCATACACAGTGTAAACAATTGACAAGCAAAAACAGGGTTCAAAGTCATCCCTAAGGCATAAATTAAATAAACTTATTTTATTTAATCATGTTTAACCTTTGTTATATAATATTTGTAACATGTGTTAACTGAGTTATTTTGTTTGTTTTAATATACAACCAGTTTACATTTAATTAAACATTCATATCCAATTAAAATTTTTTTTTTTTAAATATAATATTAGGATTTCAGCACTTTTGTCATTGAAAATTGTGCATGTTAAATACTTTTAATTGAGCTTGATTTATTTTATAATTAATAAATACTGCTTATTTATGCACCTATTTTTTTAAAAACTTCTTTATCATAATATAATATTGTTAACTTGTAGTGTATGATTTTATTTTAATATGCTTTAAGGGTTGTATGAATGCTTTTAAATGTAATACTTTTTTTTATTAATTTCAGGAAAAATATCTGGCTGAAAACTACTTGAAGGTTATAAATCAAAGTAAAAGTATCTATAATGTCTCATAGTTTCTTTGAATAATTCTTTATTTTAGGAAATTTTGGCCATTAAGAATAACAAAAATGTATTGAAGATTTTGTTTATTGGATATTTCCTAGATTATAAATCCGCAGTATTAAGTTAAGTTAGGAGAGTAGTAAGTATAGTTAAGGTAAGTAGTAATCAGTAGATACAGCTTCGGGTAAATAGTGTTATGAATAACATTATCCACAAGAAAAGCATGTTTCGACTTGTTACATTATTTTAAATTATAATTATCTACTAATAAACTATTTATTTATGGTTTAACTATTCATATTTTATAAAATTATTCAAAAATATTTTGTGGAAATTTAAAAAAAAAAATAAAGAAATACAAAATTTTAAGAACCTAACTAAAATAATAACGCGGTAAATGAAAATACGATATTAACGCCATGTGCAAGACAAGATAGTAACACCATTGGTATGTGCCATCTCGTTCTAACATTCTCTTTCGAGCAACACTGCTTGGTGAGCATTCCAGTTATCATATTATAGAGTTCAATGGTCATTATAAAATATATGAATAGGGAATTGTAGGGATGGCGATTAGCAATACCTAGTGATAAAAGTATTAATAAATTCGAACACGGTTCTGGTTATGGAACTAAACGGGCCAAACGTTGGATAATGGCGTTTGCATTTAACTTCGTTTAGCAAACTGCAAACAGACCGTCCGATTTTCTCCGTTATCAAACGTTTGCCACGTTTTCCGCTACAGAATTTCCTCGTAATACGCACCACCATAGATTTAAACAATTTTACGACGCTCTCCAAATATTCTATTTCGATGTCTACAGCTACAGAATCAGCCGCGGTTTTACCAGTCATATAGACCAGCGGTTCCCAAACTTTTACGACCACGGCACCCTTATATAATTGTTTGTGTTTCGCGAAACCCTAATGTCTAATCCAACTCAACTTCAATTTTTCTAAATAAAAAAAGGAAAATCTATTCTATAAACTCTCAAGTCTAAACAATATTTTAATGATACTGTTAATGACTTTTCATTATTAAACTTAGTTTAAAAAAAATTTTCAATCCAAAATTGTTTAAATAACAAACATTAAACAAACATAATTATCTCAATAATCTCATACATCTGGCGGAACCCTTGACATTGTCCCACGGAACCCTAAGGTTCCGCGGAACACACTTTGGGAAACGCTGATATAGACAATGTAGATGAGGACGACCGTTAAATTTCAAATAACACCAATGCCGGGCTGCATGAACAATCACTAAACATATTTTGACGAATCGATAGTGAGCTAATGATTCTTTAAACATGATTTAGTGGCCCATGATTGGTCCATTTAATTTTGTTGGACCATTAAATTAATATATTTTTCACGGCGCAACCAGCTGGTATAAGCCGGTTAGCCTATTCACTGCTGCTAGTCGCCGGACAAGTCATATTGCAGCACTCTGAATCTGAAATCTGAATTCGAAATTTGTTCGCCGCAGCAGTCCACGTTCTGTGCATGGTTGTGTTTCACTGCCTGCCATTTATTGAGCATTAATTTTTTTGGTTACAAACACATTCTATGACTATGAGTGATCGTTGTAATTTGTGCGTTGCTGACTTGCTGTCGACAAGGACGAAGAGAAAAAACTTTAGCCGGAAAGAAAAAATCCCAGCGAAAAAGTGAGTGGCTATCTGCGTCTTCCCATCTTTTATACATTTTTACACAAAACCTGTATAAATGTACCCTGTTCAAGTTAAGATGACGCTACACTGACATTTGTTGTCTCCGCCTCACAAATGCGTAACATAGCACGTTTTACGCTCAGTAGATCACGTTGAGCTCCGTTCGCTTAAAAATTAGAGTGAATTTACCTCTTATAAAATTTAGAGGTTAATTTAAAATTAAAGGACTCGTTGAAAAGTTGAATTGGCTGGCGACAGTTGATGGCGCTGAGTTGACTCGTTTTACGGATACCTTGTGCCATACAAACATTATTTTGCTTTGAATTATAAATTATTTATACTTCGTGTTAGGCAACAGCACAAATTTATTATAATATAAAATATCCGTTTAAATTATTATCCACGGTAAAGCTGGATTGACAGTTATATGTTCAATGTTGTGTGTCGTGCGAGTGCGTGGTAACTATGTGGTTACAGCTAGTAACCATTTTTGTGTAAAAGTTGAGCTGTTATCAATTATTGGTATACTCCCTTTCGACTTGGTTATTACATGATACCAAAAAGTAACGTCTAATAAACAATGCGATTTTTATCAACACGACACGACAGTGGAAATAGAAAGGCGCGGGACTGCGGAATACAAAGCCATAATATTAGCCAATGCAAAGTTTTATATTTCATCACTATTGTCAGATTATGAAATTTTTTAAGGAGTAAAAAAAATATTCCATGAGGTACGACTCTACAGTGCAGCAATTTAAATTCTAATCAACTATTTCCAAATTCATTGTTTTTTATAGGTATGAGTTAAGCACATCTGCAGGTTCCCGTCACTTTATAGTCAAACAGCTACCCCGTGTGAATAAGGCGGTGTGCCAGGTGAATCGTTGTATACAATTAGATTTCTTTCAAATGATAATTGTTGACGTGCGTTTGAAATGAAAACGATTTATTGAGTTAAGGGCTAAAGAGCTTAACCTATGTATAGTATATTTTATTTTTCTGTGATTTATTGTTTATATTGTATGTGTATTGTACCGATACTAAGATTCACCTTATACGAGCTTTATATAGGCAATAAATTAAAATTATTTTGTTTTTTTTTTTATATTGAGATAATTCGTAGGTAAAATACTTAATATTTTACAGTAATTAAGTTATGAGCGCAGAAATCAAATTTAAATGTACAATGTAATTTCATCGAGTTTTTTATAATGGCGTAAGTAGATTGTCAATTAGACTTATTGTTTTCAAGTTATGGCCATTTAAAGTTGTATCATTTATCGTAGTACTTACATCCAAGGTGTATGAATACTAGTTCACGGCTACGTCGTCTGTCATGTGTTTTGACTGTAATACCTACAGGTTCAGACTTCAGACTCGGGTTAAGATTATTAACAGGGGCTGTAAAAATACATCTTAATATCTTGTTCAAATTGGGAAAAATATTTTTATTCATTTCTGTTATCCAATATCCAATACGTTTTTAGCATTCTATTGCCAGCACAAGAAATTCAGATTAAATCCTTAATATTGGATACAGAACATTCCGGAAGGGGATATATTTATCGTATTTTCAAAGTCTTCTGATGAATGTTTATTACTCAAAGGTACACTCAAGAGATTAAATAATGGTTCAACAGTAGCAACGAGTTTTATTCTTTCAATTGTTCGGAAGTTAATGTCGTCAGAGTGCGCATGCCGAACTTGGTAAAACATTGTATAATAAAATTCTTTGTACGCTGAATGCCGATTTATATTCCTGCTTGTTATGTTTTTCTCCGTGTACACAATTATAGTACACAATGCATATACATAGTGTAATATTCCAATAATCACATACCATATCAATATGGCAGTTAATTATAATGAAATAAAACAATAAAAAAAAAAAACCTAGAAACTATTATTTTTGCCGACTTGGTTCGTTAAATTTCCGATTAGGAAATCTAATTACCAAGTTCGGTGGGGTCTCACAATGTATCCCGCAACACCGGCCCTGTCTGTAATCTTAGACGAGCTCCCCGGGACACCAAAAATGTAGTCACTTTAACTATTAAGTAATCTGTTAATCTTAAATCGGGGACAATTTGTGATACATAGATATTAATTATTCAATTATTGTTAATTTTCGAGAAATAAGAAGGTCAGTCGATAGTAAATCATCAACGTAGCGTTGTTTATAATTGTTGAAATATAATTTAGACGAGTACATATTTCCGGTTTTATCGATGATATTACATTATTGTAAAATGTGTAATGGTTTAACATAAAACAATAATTATAATAATATTGAATACGACAATTATAATAATTGATTTTTTTTCGAGTTAACAAAATGGTGTTGGGTATTCAAATAAAAATAAATCGTAGGTTTATTGTAATTAAACAAATCAAGTATTTATCTTGACTTTTTTTATAATTGGCGGAGATTAAAATAGGAATAAATTCATCTAACGAGCGGTAATTATATTGTGATATTTTTTTAATTTATTATTCGCATATTTGACCTATCTATTAAAAATAAAAATTGATAGAGGTGGTAAAAAGTGGGGATATTTAGTGAAAGACTATATTACTATACGATTATGTTCATTTCATTAAAAATAAATAATAATGTTAACAATATTTAATCTATTATGATCTGCTAATATTGCGAATAATACCTACTCACAAGACAGCAGGCAACTTCAAAAGCGGACCGTGAACGAACATAAGCATTGATGACTTCTGCATATCAACGAATGAAGGAAAAATTAAATTACTTACATTGTACACGAATCTACAATTAATATAGTCAATAATATATGTCTCGGTGTGTGAAGAAGCGGAAAATGGTCTTGGTCGATCCACTCAGAATCATAACATAAGGTACGAGCCGGGAATGACAAGATTTGATATCGTTCGGTTCGGCACAAATAAAGCACCTTGGTGATGGTGCTTTATGGCACATATAATATGTAAATATGATGGTCATGAATGAGAATAACTCGAGATTTGTGTGACCATACGGTTGTGGACAGTGAATAAGTGTCAATAGATTCTGATAAAGTAATAAATAACAATATAAATAACGTGCTACATTGTTATCATTAATAATAATTAGTGGAAATTTAAATAATAGTTTTCTCTCTCGTTATCCGCGTCGCACACACTATTCGCCGATCCGCGAGCGCAAATATTACATAATAATTATTACAAAACCATTCCGTTTGTCGTTGTATTTGATTTGATCGGTGTCTGCCGTTCGAGTGTACCGGTACACATATAACATACAAGATTGTTGTTTCTCTACGTTGATTGTTACTTCAAAATGGTAAGTAATCATGAAAATTAATACATATATCATTTCACCGTTAGGTAGGTATTGTGTAATATAATACATTAAGTTTGATATTAATTATATTATCTAAATAATTTGCAGTATAAGTCTACATTAAATATATAATTATTAAAGTAATGACAAAATAAGAAATTAATATAATATAAACTATACAGCGAGAGATAAAGCATAGAAAAAAAGCATAACATTTTAATTTATTTTGAATTAAGATGTAAGTCAATATGTTATAAGTATACGTATATTATTGAGTTTATGGTGAAAATAATTTATTCTAGGTATTAGGAATCTGCGTGTGGCAGAGGATATCGTTGTAGAAAACTATTACAGATGGTTATAATTTGTATACAGTCTGTTGTAGTTAAATATGAATTAAATTAAAATGCGTTGTACATTGAATTGTATGAACTAAATATTAAAATATTTTATAAGCACCAATAAGCCTGTACCAGTGAATAAATTACACTTTCAATAAATGCGACAAACTATGAATGGATCGAAATAGTAGAATAAAAACGAAAAATCATACTGCGTAGTGCATATATTCTTCATAATATCCATGTCAAGAAAATACGTGTATTAATAATGTGTCGTAGATAAAATATTTATAAATTAGATTAGCTTGAGTAATGAAAAAGTTAATCATATTGAACGCTACGAAATACGTTATCGTTTATATGGTTTAATTTATGTATACAACTTGAATTTTCAACATAAGACGGTACTCCATTTTTCAGTCAATTTCTTTGTACTTTTTTGTGTATATAATTAGAAAATCTATACTTAACTTTAATTTTTATTAAAGATTAAATCTATATTATTATTTTTGTGTTTTTTTTAAACACTTATAGTGGAGACATTTTCATATTTCGAATCAGAATGTTTTTTTGCACACATTTATGTTAAATATTGGATTTTCAATTTATTTTTATTAATCATAAGTATTTTAAATTTAGATGAGCAGAGTATTGGAACATAAATAATTAGCCACGTAGTGGAATCTTTCAGTTTCCATAAAAAACTTTAAATGTTATGTGATATAATAATATATTAAAATATTATGAGTTTTCACGATATACATAAAGTTATCACGGTGACTTAAAGTTTCTATTATACTAATTGAATTTTAATTGTTATTGCTGTAATACTATTACTTAAAAAAATAATTTCTTATACAGATAAAGTCAATTAAATGTTTGGGTTATTATTGTACCTAGAAGTTTACGTACCAACCTAATTTATATCCTGCTCCATTTGTATGATAATATTTTATTTACAATGGATTGTCAGAAAAAATCTTTTTTAAACTATTCATCCAAATTGCAAACAGTAGGTAAATGGAAGACTCAATATTAAAATAATAATAAACTAATAGTTTAACATCTTTTTTTCGATACCGTTTGAAATGCATCCCAAAAATGCTCAATATTGATCGAAAATGTACTAAACTTAAATGTTTTTGTACGAATTTTGTAGGGATTTTAAAAGTACATTAAACCTTACGCATACTATGTATATGTGTACTACCCACCGGTATTATGTAGTAAAGGCTCGATGCTAATGTTCATAACCGTAAGAAGTATTAAATTCATAATTAGCTATTATCAGTATTCATTCACAAAAATTGATTATGATGAAAAAATATTATTTCTATTCGTATATTTTATTTAATAACCATTAAATATTGTTAAACAACTGTATCAAAACTGAAATATCACGTCCAATTTTCAACTGCCACATCGATGTTATATATATAGGGTGATCCAACAAGTATGCTCACCCTCTTTTTTCTTTAATATTGAAGTTTTTAAAAATCTGGTTTTTGGAATCTTTAAATATACTCAAAGACCATATTTTCATATTCTTGAGATTCTTTGTACCACTTAAGTACCACTTAAGGAATGTCCCGTAGCGATATATATATTTTTTTTTTTCAAATGGGAACCACACTTTTTTACTGTAAATTATTTAGCGAATATTTTTTTTTGTGAATTTTGATATATTGAAATCAAAATTCGAACGAGTAGTTTTCTAGTAATTACACATTTTGTGCTAAGGATAATATAGTTTATAATAGGGAAGAAGGATATGCTTATACAGTATACGTTGTTATCTATAGTCTATAAACACAATTTAAAAAATATGACATTTTATATTTATTTAGTCAAACACTTAGGTAAATACCAAGTAAAATCCTTCTTGATGTATTTAGTTATTTTTCTTATTTCATGTGTAGAACTGTATAATCATATCCCCATTATGGACTATTTTCCTTAGTACAAATTGTTCAATAACTAGGAAACTACTCGTTCCAATTTTGATTTCGATACATCAAAATTCTCAAAAAAATTATCTGCTAAATAATTTAAACAAAAAAAGTGGGGTTCTCATTTGAAAAAAAAGGTTCGTATCGCCACAGGACACTCCTTAAGTGGCACAAAAAAATCTCAAGAATATGAAAATATGGTCTGAGTATATTTAAAGATTCCAAAAATCAGATTTTGAAAAACTTCATTATTAAAGAAAAAAACTGGGGTGAGCATACTTGTTGGATCATCCTGTATATATATATACACTTCTATTGCTATATCATGTTACCTGAAAGATATTTTGTTTAATTTAAGAAAAATATTTTCAAAAACGGCAATCTCATACCGTTTAAAAGTAACATTAATCACAATTTATTTTATCTATATGATGCCCAACTAATCTAATATATTTATTTAAAAAATATGTACTCTTGATCGAATCTGTATAATATACCTAGATGGGATACTGAACTATTGAATTCCAGCTAGCAGCTCAAACCAAAAAAAAATTGCGTTGGCTTTATTATTTGAGTATCAAATTCTAGTAAATAGATAATATTATTATGTTAACATAATATGATATACCTAATAGACTTATAACGTCATATTCAAATGGTCAACGAGAATATATTTAAATTGGTTGTTGTACGATTTATAGATTTCGATGGGGTTCCATACGTTGGTCTACCTAATGTATACTGCAGTGTTCATCGTGTCACTGGTCGGCAACGGGCTAGTATGCTATGTGGTCATGTCCTCGACGCAAATGCAATCGGCGACCAACATGTTCATCGTGAACATGGCCGTCGGTGACCTGGTCATGACTCTGTTCTGCGTTCCCTTCCCGTTTGTCACCTCGTTCCTGTTGCAGTATTGGCCGCTGGAAAACTACGTGTGCCAAACCTTCACATTCGGCAAAATCGTTGCCGTGTTGGTAAGTCACATTTGCTGGCGGGAGGTAAATATAGAAGTATCGTATTACCAGGGATTTTATAATATTTTTTTGTGAAGAACAACAGAATCTCCAAAAAAAATATTCAGTTCTGAGTGCGGTTTGCGGTTTATGACAATTTGTTACCTATTGACCGTGTTAATGTGACTAAAAAGGGGCGATTCCATTGAATAGTAGAACAATTAGTGTAATTTTGTGAAAAAACGTATTTTGAACGTATATTTTTTTGAATTTTATAAGATTTTTTTCAACAACATTATTTTAGTAGCTTTAAAGAACACCATTAGTTATGTTGATATTCAGATTTTAGGTTAGGTTTAGGTTAGGTTAGGATTTTAAGTTTGTGTAACACGGCGCATCGTATAAGCAAAATAGGCACATTACTGCGTTGGGGTAACACATTTCAGTAAATCACGTCTGATATTGTGAAATACTGAAATGTTGGATGAATGTATGATATCAGTGGTAAAATATCAACGCTTGAAATCGTTTAATACGTAGACACATAGTTGTATAATATATATAATTTTATCTTCGACTATAAATTGTACGAGATTGTCGGCATTGTAGGTTAAATGTTCACAATTTAATTTTTGTTCGGAAGTTTTGTCTTTTTCGGGTAACAGTGCGTATGTGTTAAATGTTGTTTTCAAAACTAAGTAAACAAATAAAAGTATACATTTTTGGATTGTTTACGAAAATATTGAAAATATAAAATATAATGCAAATTGGTATATTAAAACGTTTTAAATTTTTGCCATATACATACTTGGGGATTTGTTCGAATATTAAAAATATGAATTGCATTGTCATGTTTCGTACAGGTGAGTGCATATACTTTGGTGGCCATCAGCGTCAACAGGTATATAGCGATTATGTGGCCATTGAAACAAAGAACTAGAAAGCACCAGGCTAAATACATAATAGCATTAGTTTGGATAATGTCTGTCATTACATCGTTTCCTTTTTTACTCGCTACTTCGTTAGATCAGGTAATATTTATTTTTAAATAGTTAATTATTTTGTTCATTCATTATATTTTCTTTTTTCTAGAATATAAAAATGCATGTTATTATTTTATAACATCGACTTTAATTTATTCAAATTAATTACGAAAATAGTATTTAATATTTAAATTTGTCTTCTAACACGCAAGGGTTTTTTTGATTTTGAGTAATAATGCTGTTGATTGGTTTCTGTCATTTTCGACTTATAATATAAAATATAGCTAAAATTTGAAACAAAAATATTAAATTAATCAAATTATACTACTTAGTATCTACTTAGATACAAAAATGTATTTAATGCAAAAAATATTTAACATGTTTTAAGTATAAAGTCATAAGTACAAAGTCTTATCATAAATTAAAAGTAATGAATATTTGAATAATTTATAGACTATAGAAAAACTTAAGTTACAACACTTATAAATAACTGTATTCCAATTCACTCTTACACTTCTCAATCTGTTTTTATCTCTTTAAATCAGAGCCCTACTTAGGAGGTTTGCGGCCGGGGCTAATTTTTTGGTTAGGCCCTTTAACCTAAATTATAAATTCAGTTCGTTTTTTAATATTCAATTAAACGTTTTACTGTTATTAAATGTACTACAGTCCAATCAAAAAGAATCATTAAAGGTCATAACTCACAAATTGTGATTACACCTAGATAATGAATTCCTATTGC